AAAAAAAACACTTTCTATGCGATCCCATACGAATTTCTATTTAAAAAATTAGTACTTAGTGATACTGCCTTTCTGCTTGATTACAGCTAGGCACCGGCGAGGCATGGATTCCACGAGCTTCAGCAAGTACTCGTGCTCGATGGAGTCCCAAGCAGACAGAATTGCGGCTTCCAGTTGATCCACAGAGCTGTACTGGCGGCCGTGAGCATACACCCGCGCCGCTAGCACCGACCACACGTTCTCGATCGGGTTACAATCCGGCGAGCGTGTTGGCCAAGCCATGGTGTCGATTTCAAGGTCAAGCAAGAAACCCGTCGTCTCGCGCGAGGCGTGGATTGACGCATTGTCTTGCTGAAAGACAAAGTCAGTGCCATGGTTAGAGTGGGCAAACGGCAGCATATACTCGGAAATAGTATAGATGTAGTCGCTAGAACATTGTCGTCCTCTCAAAATGGCCAACTTGCTCTTGCCTTGCGCACTAAACGCGCCCCAAACCATCACGCTGCCTCCCCCATTTTGGCGACGAAGGTACGTTTGAGGAGGCTGCCTTAAGTCACGCCAGTAATACTTGTAGCCATCAGGACCGTCAAGGTTAAAAAAAATTTATCTGAAAAACAGTATACTGCCAAATACCTAAGTAATACAAAAACAGTTAGCATCCGTAAAAATTAAATTCCAAACAAACGTACCCGGATTAAGTATGTGCTCTTCAGCCCAGGTCATACGTGCGGCCTTGTGGGCGGCAGTGAGAGGTAGCGTGCGCTCCATCTTGGTGTAGACGAGATGGTCCACACGCTGCATCACTCTCTGCACCGTTCTTACCGACGACTTGGGGCCAAGCCTTGTCTTCAGCTCGGCTGCGAACTGGTCACCAGTAGCCGCTGCACGCACTAGCCGTCGGACCTCCCTCTCCGTAAGTTCTGGGCGTCGACCGAGTCCTCCTTGCTTCTTGACTTCGTCTGTCAAGGGACCTTGTTCTTGTCTGATCGCCTTCCGTACAGACGTGCGCGAACGGCCGCTCTTCCTTGAAATCTCGTGCAACGACGTGCCCGCGTCGTGTAGGCCTATAATCCACCAGTACTCTTGGTCGTTGAGGGCTTTACCACGGCCCATTGAAGAATGAGCGGTCATAGCACCATGGAGAAGGCAGCAACTAGGCTTAAAGAGCAAGTCTCCGCCATTCGATCTGTCCACTTAAATACGAAAATTTAATCTAGAAATTTGTATGAATTTTCAAAGAAAGGGGCTGGTCCTAAATTGTGTCGTCGCCTCTGAAAGTGGTGGTTTGTATACCAGCTACACGAAGCTTTGCGAAATCGGAGTTGTTAGCACAAGTAGCGTCATGCTATTGCTAATAAAGAGAACATATCTAAATGGCGGCCGGTAATTCAAAGTAGAAGCTGATATATTGTCCAAAGTATACCCCCGATTAGGGGATCCTATCATTTTGGCGCGCACGGTATCATGTTGTATTGAAGGAGTCCAAAATTTTCATCGCCATATCAATTGATGGAGAATTATTTCTGGGAGTTGCAACTGTCGGGATTACGGGTTGTTTTTTTTTTAAAAAAAAATGCAAAACGGTCCTTCCTTTGATCCTTCCTTCAATACAGGATAGCCTTCATAAATACATATCTTGATCAATCAAATGCCCCCTGAAAACGGAATCTGTGTCCAAATTGGACTTCTTTAGTCCTTATTCTCTCAAAACTGGCTCATCCCCGCTTGCAGTCTTTGGTGGCGAGAGGCCTCTCACAATCAGCGTGGAGAGTATGCTCACAGGCCTCTGCGCCGATCAAGTCCGTCCTTCTCGCCTCCTCAACTCCACTCAAGCAGCAACGATCGACGTCCATGACAGTCACAGACTCCCCCTCACGACGGGGTCCTGACAGCACCTCACAAGGAGACGACGACTGTCAGGACGCGGCGGACAAGAAGCGGGAACTCCAACAGCAGGATCAGAAAAAAGTAGAAGAAGCCCGCAAAGTCCACGAGATCACCGAGAGCTCCTCAGACGAGAGCGGTGACGAAGCATCGAGTAGGACTCGCAGCACAACGTCGAATCGCTCCGAATCGGTCATTCTAGACGCCGCGGCGTCTCCTGCGACCGTTGAAGATGAGGAGGAAAAATCGCCCGAGATGCCACCGCCAGAGGTGGTGGAGGAGATGCGTGCAGGCGTTTACATGCCCGACCCTGAGGTAGTCTACAATACCAAGAATGTGGCCGATATGCACTATTTGTTCACGAACGACAAATTGAAGGAGGAATCGCCCGCTATTGTGTTACGGTCCGACCCATTCTGCATCCCTAGAGTCACGGACAATGTTCCTAATTATCGACCTATGCTCAACCCGTTGAGCATCTTTTTGGGAGAAGATAAACTCTTGCCGGGGAACTTTCGGTTGGATCCGACGGAGAGACTGCCGAATGTTGGAGCGTCCAAGAAGGATGCGATGAATGGACCTAGAGGAATCCTGCCCCCTCCTGGAAACTCGTCATCATCTACGAGCTCTGGGAAACAATTTCGAGGAAAAACGAGTGCGTTTATGGGGACTATGCCACGTCAAACGGAGTTTGCAGAGATTCCAGTATCGGAGAAGCTTTTCCAGAACCACGAGGTATTTCGGCCTTCACCGCCTATTTCTCGGGTTCCAACGTCCCCAATTAGGGATCAAAGATCAGCTACATCGATGAACAGCAGGTCATTCACAGCGAACAGTGCAGAGGGTGGCCAGACTTCAGTTACGATGAATACGAGCTCATCTGCCTCCCTGTCCGACGCAATGCTGCTATCATCGATACAGCATACACTTGACGCCACGACAGCAGCTCTTACAGCAACGGACAGCACTATGTCGTCGCAAGACAATGCCACAGATTCCACTTCAGACGCTGCTTCTGTCTCGTCCGGATACCAGATCCAGCCACTTCAGCCGCTGGAATCGGTCGCAGACACGTTGACAAACTACCTTCCAACCCGCAGCTCATCTACGTTGGACAACCGGCTGATGGATGGACAGTTCTTCAACGCACCAGGAGGATACAATCCTGTTGGTGGATCGATGAGCTATGCTGGTAATGCCGTTGTCCCCGGATCATTCGGCTCCGTCCTAGCAGCGGCCGAAGTCCAAGCCAGCAACCCGTATTCCGGTCTTTTCATCGATAGTGCTGGAGCGCAATCTGTCAACCAGAACATGCAGACTTTTTCCTCTGCGCTTGGCTCCATTTCTCTCACCACTCCAACAAGCGGCGCTGCTGGACTCCACTCAGGACTCATCACTCCGCAAGGAGACGTTGCAAGGTGTAGCGAAGGAACGCCTCGTCGTCCAGGAGCGAAGAAACCTCGGGCGAAGAACGTGTTTCGACCGTGTTCAACACCGGGATGCACAAAAGGTGCCCGTGGCAAATCTGGACTGTGTCAAAAGCATGGAGGAGGCAAGCGTTGTGCCGCACCGAACTGTCCGAAAGGTGCACAGGGTAGCAGTAGCATGTGTCTGTTTCACGGAGGTGGCTATCGCTGCACGGTGGAAGGATGCAATACAGGTGCTCGTGGCACTTCAGGTCTTTGTGCCAAGCATGGAGGTTACAAGAAGGGCAAGGCGGGGGCGACTGCAAAGCGTAGACCCAATGGTGAGGATGCTGCAACCAAGAGGGTACGCACTGATGAGCCGCAACAAGAGCCTGCTGCTGTCAAGACAGAATAACCAATGTCAATAAATGACCATATTTAACAATCACGATGGTGATAGCTCGGCGGTCGTCTTACCTTCCTGATAGCCGGAAGCTCCATATGAAACAGGGAATGTGGGTCCCCTGGCTGAGGACATTTGCGGCACATTCGTGTTGATTGCTGGATTACTCGCATTACCTGCTTACATTGTTGAGGGCCGCAAAGCATAGCTTATTGTCTTGCTCTCTCATGCATGACGCTGTATCGAATGAATAGTACCAAATCCGATTAGGTGCCGTCTCATCCTGGTCAGCGTAACAACGCGCTCTTGAAAAGACGATTATCAGCACGCGAATTACCCGATGCGCTAGAAACGCTACGAGTTCTTGAACTTGTTAGTGGCGTCAACTAGCTCCTTGGCGATGCCAGGCTCCATAGCAGAGTGGCCGGCAGTCTGCACCACACGGAAATCAGCCTCGGGGAAGGCCTTGTGAAAGTCCCAAGCCGTCTTCATCGGGCAAACAACGTCGTATCTGTCACACGGGTCACATCAAAATTACATACTCGTGCTATACAATGCACCATGACAACTACGTTCTCATACCTTCCCTGAACGATCACCGTCGGAATGTGGCGAATCTTGTAAGCATTTTCGTTCAGGAACTCGTCATTGGGGAAGAATCCCTTGTTGACAAAGTAATGGTTCTCAATACGAGCGAACGCCTCCGCAAATTTCGCTTCGTCCATCGACTTATCCGCAGCATCCGACTGTGCAACAGTAGCAATTATCACATCAGATATCTAACAAATCACAATAGTCAACGCAAAACTTACAGGAGGGATCAAGTTGCTAGTGGTTTTCTCCCACGTCGTCCACGCCAGCGCAGCAGGAATGCGAACCTTCGGGTCATCACTCGTCAGACGTTTGTGATAAGCCTTAACAAAATCGCCACGTTCTTCCTCGGGAATAGCGTCCCGATACGCTTCCCAGCGGTCCGGATAGATGAAGTTGGCGCCGTGTTGATAGTAAAAGTCGATCTCCAGCTTACGTAAGTGGAAGATGCCACGCAGCACGAGCTCTGTGACCCTCGTCGGGTGCGTTACAGCGTAGGAAATAGACAGTGTGCTGCCCCACGAACCACCAAAGACTTGCCACTTGTCAATGCCCAAGTGGCGACGCAGCTTCTCCATGTCTTCGACCAAGTGCCACGTCGTGTTGTCCTCCAGGGACGCGTGAGGTTTGCTGCGGCCCGAGCCGCGCTGGTCAAGCAGGATGATGCGGTAGACCCGCGGGTCGTGGTAGCGTCTCATGCTCGCCGAGCAGCCTGCACCTGGTCCACCGTGTACCATGATGACGGGCTTGCCGTACGGGTTTCCGCACTCCTCGTAGTACAGTTCGTGCACAGGCGAGACCTGGAGTGTTCCCGTGTTGAACGGCTGGATGGCCGGGTACAGAAACTCCTCGGGGGTTGAGAGGTAGTGGGGCTGGTCGATCTGATTTTCTTTCTTCTTAGCCGCCTCTGAGGACGCCGACGTCGAGTAACTCACCGCTAACGATGTGAGCGCCACGGCGGACAGCGCCACAGCGGCACGACGCGCTTGCTCGCGCTCATTTTTGGTGGGGACGTTCACGGGACGCGGACGCGCATTTTTGCTAGTGGGTAAAGCTAGCAATTGCAGCGTCTTACCGCCAGCACGGCGCAATGAGAGCAATTTGGAGAGCATCGAGAGTTTTTTTTTTGCTTGAGCTAACGAGAAAATGGTGATATAAACATGAAGATACCTTCTGATAAAATATGGAAGTCCTTTTTTTTTTTGTTTTGTGGTATGGTCTCCTCTGCAAAGAAATATTCTATAATAGGAAAAGCGAAAAGACGGTGAAAAAATATTTCGAGAGATCTGATTGGCTTGGATGGGTTGGATGGCATTCAGACGAAAAAACCCCATTAAAATTTTAATGGGTATTTTTCGTCTGAATGCCAATTAACCCAAATAAACATGCCATCCAACGGCAAAAGCGACATTTTCATCGAAAGTTCGTGAGTAATAAAATATTCATGCAACTTAAATGAGCGGTGTGATTCTCTAATGTCTTTTTTTAACTCATTTTTCCATCGACGTTGTGTATTGTCCGAATGCCAAGAGGCAGATCCTTCGAGCGCTCAAAGTGCCGGCCGGATACAGGACTATCCTCACTGTTTCTTCTTCTTCAGCATCTTCTTGTTGCGCATGTCCTCTCGGAAGTCTTCATATTCGCCATACAGCGCACTATACAACATTGTCAGCACAAACTCACAACAAAGTACAACTAAGGCTTCACACATACCTGCGCTTTTCTTCCTTCTGGATCTCGTCGAAAGAGGCTTCCATGTTGATCGAGTCGTCCGAGTCATACGAGAATTGCCTCTTTCGGTTCTTGCGGAACATCGCAGCAATGTGGCCCGGACGGTACTCTCCGTCGTCGCTTACCACAAAGCTATCGTCTGAGTCTTCGTCCTCAAACGGATCACGACGTCGCATGCGTGATTCCTTCTGAAAGCGATCACGGCGCTGTGAAGCTGCAGACGTCGAGTGTTTATGCCGCAAGTCGTCCAGAGCCTGCTGTATCAAACGGTGGTGACCTTTCTTGGGCACCAGAGACGGCAGATCCGACTTCTCGATAGTACTGAGGAGCTTCACCGAGTCGAAGCCGTTCTCAAAGAAAGCTGGAGCGTATTCGCTCATATCCACACTCAGTCCCTTGAGCCACGACAGCACCTCTCGCTGTCCTTCTGTGTAGTTCACTTCCTTCCTCCTGGCTGCTGTGCTAGTTTTCTTCTTAGTTGCGCCTGTACTGGCCGTGGATGCGGCGCCTACGCCACATACACGAGGATACATTTTGTCTAGCATGGCCTTGCGTGCATCCAGAGCGGGAGGAAGATTTCTCGGTGCGGAGCCACCTCTCGAAGATGATGCACTAGTGGGTCGCGAGCCAGGCCTCGCTCTGCCATTCGCCTGTGTGCTACTGCTACTGCTCCGTGCGTGCTCAGGCTCCCGACGTCCACTATCACTGCCATTACTGGCTTGTCCTGACAGTGCTCTGTATTTAAGCTGGCGTTGTCGGTGCCTCTCTTCCGCTGACCTGCAACGATTTATCACTTTATTAGCACCACGAAGGCTGCATTAGAGCGCACAGCACGAGACTTACATATTAGCAAGTGAGGTAGCAGGACGTCTAGCCTGTTGCTGCACTCTCGATGCCGGCAGCACTCGACGAGCCACTGGTGGTGCCGATCCCGATCTGTGGTTCGCGCTGGAGAGCGGTCGACGCTGCACCATCTGCGCTCTGCTAATTGAACTTCTGGACGGAGCGGTGGACACTGTTGTACCTCTCCGCCCCTTAGAGATAGGGCCACTCAGCACTTGTACAGTCCGCGAGTCTCTCTTAGCTCTCTCACTAGCATAACCTTCCTGTAACCTCTTTCTGGCGCTCTCAAGCTTCTTCTGATCCCCTGAACCTGTTGTCCATACACAAGGTAGAACGTGAGTCTGCCACTCTACCTTTGGTCGTTGCAGGAATTCTACTCACTTCGTTTCGGCGGCGATGGACTAGGTACTCGCTGTCTCTCGGGTGGTCGACTGGACATTGACGAGGAGGAAGCGATGCCAACCTCGTTCTTCCATTTATTAGTGAGGCTCTGACTATATCCACGTACAATATCGTCGTCGTGTTTCTTTAGTTTATTGACGGCTGCGCCGATCTTGGTGCGTTGTAGCAGGTCTTTATCCACTTTCAAAGTCGTAAGCTTTCCCAGCAGCCGCTGCATGTCAGGCACTACGCTCTTGTCGGACTTCCAGCCGTCGCGCTGTGTTATCTCTGCAATCTGTCGGGCCATGGCGGCCACGTCCTTCTCCCCCGTCACGGCCATTGTTGGTCTAAAAGACTTCTTCCGGCGTCGTCCCCTTGCTGCCCCTACGCGGCACTTGTCTAACAAAAATACCGGACAGAGAAAAACCTCGGATGGAAAAACCTAGAATACATGTGGTGTACATTAACGAAATGGTGTGACGTACATGAGTCTCGTTTGCGTCAATAATGCTGCGGCTGGCAAGAGTGCGGTGCTTGCGGCCGACGGCGACGCGCCATGCGTCGTATCTACTGGGAATCGAAACCAGGTACTTGGAGCTGCAATAAGACTGAGTTACATCGGACTGGAATTGGCTACTAAGATGCTGCTGGTCATTGTAGTTGCGACGACACAGCGGCAGCGGTGCTAGACCAGGACGGACGTGTGCTGAGCAACGTCATTTCGTCGCAGTGGGAGCTCAACGCCAAGTGGAGAGGTTTGACAATTGTTAGCGCTGCAAAATGTCGTACTTAGATGCGATCTGATGGTGCCATGCTGCCACTGCAGGGATCGTTCCGGCGCTTGCTGCGCGAGCGCACGAGGAAAACCTTCCGCATGTGATCAACGCTGCCATTGAGCAGAGGTGACTAGCGTCGTGGTGCTGAGCTCATTGTGTCTGCATGTACTAACGTGCTATTGTCTAGTGGACTGGAAAGTCTGCAGCAGTTGTCGGCAGTTGCAGTGACTTCCGGTCCGGGACTTGCTCCATGTCTGGATGTGGGGCTGCGGACGGCTCGCCAGATTTGCCTTGACAACCCGGACATCGCGTTCCTGCAGATCAATCACCTGGAGGTGCTGCAACTATCGAAGAAAACGAGATATGATTTTTTTTTTAGCAGTAGCTGACTTCGCTTGTGTTGAAATGGCAGGCCCACGTCCTAGTGTCACGGTTGCCACAAGTACGTAGCTCTGTGTCGACTGGCAATAGCTAACCGCTAGTTAATTAATTGTTGTTCTTGTGTGCTTCTTACAGCTTGAAACCCCGCGACCAGAGTTTCCTTTCGTCGTGCTGCTAGTGTCTGGGGGTCACTGTTGCCTTGTGCTAGCCAAAAGTCTGGGAGACTATGAGCTGTTGGGCAATACGCTCGACGACTCCATTGGCGAAGCCTACGATAAGGTGGCTCGAATGCTGGACATTACTGCCTCAGGCGGCAAGGGAGTCCATGGAGGCAAATTGATTGAGGACATGGCTGCGCGCGGCGACGATCGTGCTTTCCCATTCACTGAGCCTATGAAGCATCGAAAGGTGAGATTGTTAGCTTCCACTTGTCCTCAGTGCAGGTTTAACCTAAAGCATCGCAGGACTGTGACTTCTCTTACTCCGGAATCAAAACTGCTATGCTTCGAGAGGTTAAGAAGGTGGGAGGGACTACCGTGATGTTTCATTTTTTTTTTCAGCACTAATCGTCATCTCCATAGCTTGGCGAATTAGACGAAAAGATGAAGGAGGACTTGTGTGCTTCTTTCCAGGTAGATTTTGGTTCATGATATTACCTGGATGAAACCTCGGCTAACATGTTTAATCCGTTTGCACGTGGTTTGTTCATCAGCGAAAAGCAGTAGACCAGTTGATAACTCGAACGCGACGAGCGTGTCAATGGAGCAAAGACCGCTTGGGGGATCATATCACCAGCCTCGTACGTCTGCCATTGCGTGGAGTGCAGAAAGTTTACTTTGTGCCCAGAACTAACCAATGTCGCTGTCGCTTCCAGGTTGTATGCGGCGGTGTGGCATCCAATCAGTATCTCCGAGGTCGCATGCAGACAGCAGCAGAAGAAGAAGGGGTGGTAGCCGTATTTCCGCCGGCCAAATACTGCACTGACAATGGCGTCATGATTGCTTGGGCAGGGCTCGAGCGATACGCAAAGGGTATGCGTAGCGACCCCGAGTGTGCACGATATCAGCCTCGATGGCCACTTGAAACACTGCAACCACTTTAGCGTCGGTGGATTTCGCAGATAGTAGAATGAAATAGACGTATGTTTGGAAAACCTGGTTTCCTTGCCCAATCCCTTGCTGCGAGTTTGCAGCCGCTGGTAGGCTTCAAGATGCAGGACTTCTCTACCGACCTGATGAGCTGCTTGAAGTGAATCCAAAGTTCCCAGCTAAAGAAGCAGTATCCTCTCCTACAAAGCCATCGGCCTCTGCCATGCATAACTTTCTGAGCAGAAGTATGTCAAACGGACAATCGGATTAAAACTTAGTTTTAAAAAATGATCTATAGTTTTGAAAACTATAGATCATTTTTGAAGTAGACGATGGAGTCTTACTTGCGTAGATGAAAGCTCTTGCAATTCCATCCAAATACGTTTCATGCCAGGTGGGGCTGTACGAGTGATTAAGTCTGGCTGTGCTGTAGGTTCAGCAAATGATGACTCATCTTGTGTATCGGAAAGATTCACAAACTTCAGGAATTTGTTGTAGTCGACATATCCGCCCTTACCGGCATCAAATTTCATAGCAAGTAAGTTAGCGTCTGTGTCGCCGAGAGCGACGCCAAGATGATCCAAGACCAATTGGAACTCTTTGAGTGGCAACACTCCTCGGTTGCTTGGATCATATTTTCTAAATGGCTGCCTTACTTCGCGATCCGTTGGTACTGCTGTGTTTACACTCGTTCGTTCATGCCACCGTTTGAGAAATGTTTCCCACTTGAAGAATCCCCAAAGCATTTCCTTGTAGTGTACCTCGCCAATGTTGCCGGTATCAAAGTGTTTGAAAAACGCCAAACTCTGTTCTTGTGTTAATTCAGGAGAATCTCCGGTACCGTTCTCACGCAGCATCCGCTGAAACTCACTATAGCTAAGTGTTCCACTACGATCGACGTCATACCGACGGAAAGTCTCGATACCATTCTTTGACTCCAAAACAAGACGTCGAACCTTGCGCATTGCGCTCTCTAGAGCAGTTTCTTTTGCCACCTGATCCGCTTCTCCTAAACTGCGGCGACGACCGTGAAGATCATACACAGCGTTTCCATTTCGAGTACTACCAAGAATTAGTTCCATTTCCTCCTTCGACAGGGGGCCAGAGCCAAGTCTTATAGCACCACGTGAGGTCTTTTCGGTATTGCCGATGACAACACGAGCCTGGCGTTTCACTCGCTCCTGGTCACGATGGGCAGCGATCGTTGCTTTTTTTAAACGAGATTCCATCGCATTCAACTCGTCACGATACTCCAATGTATCCGCGATTAATTGCCGGACTGCTTGAGCATCGCGACGCTTCTGTTCGTTCATACGGAGCTTGCGAGCCGAGTCTTTCAATAGTTGAGTATGACGCAGATTCGCCAGTTTTTCAGCTTTATCGTGCTGTTGCTTAGCAGTTTGCACGTCACGCCGCGATGTACCAAGCTCCTTATGAAAATGTTGACGGGCATCTGACCACACATAGGATGGCTCCTCATCAAGTTTAACCACATCCAGCGAGTCGAGACGTGGATTTAATCGCACTGTCGTCAGTTTGAGTTCTTTTTTCTCGGATCTAGATGAAGATGTCGAACTTGCAGTACTCACAAGACTTCGGCTACTGCTACTGCGGATCGAAGATGGTCGTTTCGATTGCTTTTTTGCATTTTGATCCTGCGCTTGTAAACTCCGATTTGAAGTGCTAACACGAGTAGTTTCCGATAGTTGATTAGCATTATGTTGGCTCGCTTGTTTTTCCTTTTCAAAGCCAAATTTCTCTTCAGATTTTGAGTCTAGTGAATCCTCTGACTCAGCGACTTCAACTTCTTCATACGGAGGTGGCAAGTCGCCGTCCTCCGTTTCTTCTCCACTGGCATCATCACAATGGCCATCATTCCCGTCGTTATCATGGTCCTCTCCATACACTGGATCACTCGCATCGCCTGACTCGTTGAAAACCAAGTCGATGTCGCTATCCTCAACCGCGTACTCAGCACCGTTCTCGCCGCACATGAGCACGATCCACTCATCTGATTGTTTATCACTGTCGACGTCCACTGCTGTCGGGGTGATAACCATCCAAGACAGCAACCACCTCACTAGCTCCTCTTTGGGCGGCGCTGGCACCTGACCGCCACCTGCCAGCCATTTTTTCAGTCTCTGGTCCAATAATACGTCTGCTTCGTCCCCTCCCGGCCGTCGCCTTTCCGCTCCCGCTCCGACGAACGCAAACTCAAAAGCACATAGCATCTGCCGCTGGTTCACGATCCGCATCAAGTGCATATAGGACGTCAACACGCTACGATCACCCAGCATCTCTGCCTCCTCAAGCAGTTCCAGGTCGAAACGGAGCGCAAAGCCCGGCGTCCGCTGCTCTGCCACGGCCACACGGGCGAGAACCTTTTGCTGCCGTCTCGGATCGCTGCACCATGGTGCCACTGCCAAGGGAAACTCCGCGCACTCCCAGTAGAAGGTCATGTTGCTGGCAACTTGCTAAGCCACCAAGAATGCTATTTTTTATTAGATGCCTTTTACTGGCGACGTCACTCGTCCTAAACATCTGTTCCAAACAGCAGAGTCATCAAAATGGCCTGTCTCTACTCTATACCTACACAAAGTGAGGCAACTGCTCCGAATCAGCCTACGCATTTTGACAATGGTCTCCGTCCTGCAGTGAAACTGGTCGAAAGGCTCGGCTGTCGTCTGCTGCGACGATTGGCGCACACTTTATCATCATTCCGTAGAGAAGAACATGCTGGTGCGACTGCTGCTGCTGGCGTCGATGCTAGCGGTGGCTTTTGCCAAGGAAGGCGTGATGCGGACGCGCCCCGTGCTGCTCATGCCGGGCTTTGCGTCGTCACAGCTGCAGTCCTGGAGCCATCGCCGCTGTGAGACAGGATTCCGCAAGAATTTATACCGGGACATCAAGTTCGGTGACCGCTTATGGGTCGACGTAGCGCGTATATTGGCGCAAAGCGATTGCTGGATCCGATGCATGAAGCTGGACATCACGACACAGGAGGAGCTCGAGTGCAAGTTGCGGTACGATCAGCGGATACAGTTCAGTAAGTGGACAAGTTCGACTAATGAGTTTTTTTTTTTTGCTGTTTGATGGACAATCCGTAGAGCTGCACAAGGCCTTGAAGCGGTGTCTGAGCTGGATCCAGGCATTGTGACGGGTCCGCTGTCGACGGTGTGGCGCAGTATTATTCACGATTTGGTGGACCATTTCGAGTTGGACCCTGATCAATTGGTTGTGGCCACGTACGACTGGAGGTTGCCGCCTAGCAAGTTGCAGGAGCGCGATAAGTACTTTTATTCTCTAAAGAAGAAGAGTAAGTGGTCTGGTGCTGGAGTTGGTAACATGTTGCTAATTATTTGAGGTGTGTTGCGCTTAGTTGAGTACACAGTGGAGCTGGACGGCAACAAAGGTGGACTTGTCGTGATTGCGCACTCGATGGGTAACGGTATTTTCCGCTACTTCCTCGAATGGCTGAAGGAGGAAGTGGGAAGGAATAACTGGCAAAAGTGGATCGATGCCCACATCTCGGCGTATTTTGCAGTCGGATCACCACTACTCGGAAGTGCTGAATCAATTGAGCTGATCACTTCAGGTCTCACGGAAGGCCTACCAATCACGCAGAGCGAAATGCGCAAGCTCGTTGTGTCATTCGGTACGGTTATACTTGTACATAAGACTTTTGTTTATTGGTATTGACGATATCTCAATATGTAGGCTCCATCTTGAGTTTCATGCCGATATCTTCGGGTTTAAATTCGCCCAAGGACAACGAAGTTCTGATTACTGTGCACTCCCAACAAGGAGTTATTCCAAATGATGACCCAGTGCTGTCTCGTAACTACACCAGCGCTGACGTTGCCTCGGGGCAGCTTTTCCGCGATATGTCTGTGCACGATCCGATCTTCGGTAAATTGGAGACATTACGCAAGAAATTCTACGCGGAGGATCCCGTTCTCGATTTCTTTAAGCCCTGGGAACGTCCTCCGATTGCTTCGGTCTACAGCGTTTACGGCGTCAATGTTCCAGTACGTTGCCCTATCGAAAACCCTTGTTAATGGCAAGTTTATCTTACTTTTTTTCATGCAGACCAAAATATTTTACGAGTATGAAAATTCGGAAACACCCGGGCACTGGTTCCAGGTGCAATTCACGAATGAAGAAGGACAAGAGCCAACCTGCAGTAAAACGGGTGATGGCACTGTGCCTTACCATTCGCTCTCCTGGGCTCACACTTGGCTGGGCTCTAAAGGATCCTCCGTTCGTGTCACCCAAACTCCACAATCCGTTTATTTTTCGGCTGAAAACATCACGCGGGTTCGAGCTGTACGACACGCGAGCAATCATCATGCAGAATACTCGCTGTTGAATGGCAAGTTGCCCATTTGCGAGGCAGACGACGGATCCTCCTCTTTCAGTGGCACCGCGGGCTTCTTCGCTGGGCTCTTCGGACCACTTAACCGCGACAGGATCACATTCTTCGAGAGCTCCAAAGAAATGGACGGAGTGACTCAGTCGGTATGTACATTACAGAACTAGAAAATTGCTCATAGCATCCACTGTAATAACGCTGTATTTGTCTCTTCATTGCAGACTGGCGTGTGGGAAATCGATGGGGTAGGTCACCGTGACATTCTCTCCAATCCGGCATTTCTTCGTGAGCTACGCGCCGAGTTGCGTCACATTTTCAACGGCAAAACTAACTCGGACAAGGTAAGTCCATCGCTTCTTGACAAGTTGTGCTATGTGAAAACTAACAAATTCATTCAATGTATTGAACAACGATGCAGTCCTCTCGTCCGCCGGTCATCGACAGTGACTGCTACTGGAACTACCGCCACGCTCACTGCGAGTTCCCAGAGTTCTGTGAATACCGCTATGTCTTCGGAGACATGACGTTCGACCAATCCTGCCGTGTTCGGCTTAAAGGAACCCTTCCTGCGCCTCCAGCACACACAAGTCCCTTTCTTGGTGTCTCGGCATCGTCACCAAGCAAGGAGTCAGTCGAGTTATCATTTACGGGACCGTACTGCTCCGCACCATGCATGCCTATCTCGTCTTCATCACAGGACATCACAATGTCTTCATCGTCCAATTTTAATGGCCTCGGCTCTCTTCAACAAGAGCCGCTGCAGACATGATAGTTTTTCCTTAAACGTAGTAGAAGTAGTACAATTCTAAACGATAGCTAAACTATGAAGCTTCGTATTTCACTTGACATTTCTCTGAATTTGTACGGTTTAGAGTCTTGACTTGACTCATAAAGCTCAGCTTTTTACTGGAGCAGAGCGTCCGCGTGGTGGTTGACGTGTTCCTCCACGAACGAAGCGATGAAGTAGTAGCTGTGGTCGTATCCATCCTGCATGCGGAGCGTCACCTTTTGGCCCACCGAGTTGCAGGCTGCCTCGAAAGCTTCGGGCAGCAGCTGCTTGTCGTGTAAGAAGTTGTCTTCGCGACCTTGGTCGATCAAAATCGACTGGGGAATCGGGCCCTGGTTAAGGATAAGTTGCGTCGCATCGTACTCCTTCCAAGTCTCCTGATCGACACCTAAGTAGCCCGTGAAGGCCTTGATTCCCCACGGACATTGGCTCGGGTGCGAAATGGGCGCGAACGCCGAAATGGATTTGTACTGGGTCTGTATAGCACTCGCAGATGTCAGTACCAATGTTAACCAGACAGCAAAGCAAATCTCCGTACCGGGTTGCGAATTCCGAGCACCAGAGCTCCGTGTCCGCCCATGGAGTGCCCCATAATGGAGTGTTTGTCCTCCAATACGGGGAAGTTGGCAGCGATAAGCGCCGGCAACTCCTTGGTCACGTACGAGTACATGCGATAGTGTTCGTCCCACTTGGTCTCCGTGGCGTCCACGTAGAAGCCAGCACCTGTGCCGAAATCCCAGTTGTCCTCGTCCCCGGGGATGCTCACTCCGCGCGGGCTCGTGTCCGTGGTGACGATGGCAATGCCACGGCTAGCCGCCACTTTCTGCGCCTCGGGGGCTTTGACAAACAGCAGCTCATCGTTGCACGTGAGCCCTGCCAGGTAGAAGAGCACAGGCACCTTGTGGCTGTCGCTGGCGGTCGGCGGCAGGAAGATACTGAACTTCATGGTGCATTTGGTGGTGGCGCTCTCATGCGAGTACTGCTTGATGACGCCCCCAAAGGACTTGACCTGCTTCACGAGCTGCATGGTGTTGACAGAGGAAAGAGCTGCTGAGGGTTTCGCTAGGGGAGCTTGGATACGAAAGTGAGTGAGGATTGATTAGGATTGGCATATACAGTAGCACAGTGCTATCTATCTACGAGCCACATTTTTTTTGTCCCATGTAAGTTAGCAGCTCGGTTACAAGTTAGTTCTTAATTGCAAAGTGGGTTATATGTACTTCAATCCAAGAGCAATGCATGTTATCTAAATCAATTGCACGACCTCTGTGAGCAGTGGCTGGATGGCGTTGAGGCCTGGCGTCACGTTCAGGCGTCGGATGACTTCAGCGAGACCAAGCTCGACCGACAGACTGCGAGCAGCTTCAAAGTTGTGCAGCAAACGACCGAGGCCGACGATAATTCCTTCGATGGTTTGCTGTTGTACAGCAGAAGAGGACTGGAGCCTCGAGATTCGATCCAGCGTCTCAACAGCGCCGCAGACGATGGTGGTGACCACCACTTCCTCTCCGATCTTCATTGCCAAGCAGCAGTTGCTAATGATGTGAGCACTCAATACTCGAGTTTCTTGACTAGAGGATGTATCAGCGATCGTAGCAAACACGAAAGGCAGGAAACGTGTGGACCCGGAGAGAGCCATGTCGCTGAATCCGGGGTTGGCGAAGGCGTTCAACAGCACAGAGAGTAGCAGAGTCTTCTGAGCGGACGTCAGTGGTGAAGGCTCGACTTCTGTGGCGTGCACAATAGCCTCGAAGCACTCATTCTTCTCTGTCACAGCATCCGTGCTAGACGGTTGCAGTAACAGCACGCGAGTCAAGCCTAACGTCGGGAAGAAGAACGTGGACTCGTGTCCTTGAGCCAGCAATTTGCTGGCAATCTTCCACCATTCGGCACTTTTGGTCGAGTCAGCTTCCTTGTTATCCTCGGCGACTTGAGCCGACAACGCATCAAGCGCCGATATCTCGTCTTCAGACAGCAGCTTCTCAGTGTTACGTTCCTTGATGCGCTGCACCATCTTGTCCAAGTGAAGCGCAGGAGACCCAGAGATCTTAAATCGACGCGACGCTAAATCCACTGATGGAGTCGTACCAGGCGTCGAGGGGGCAGCAGGTACAGCTAAATTGGCACGTGATGGGTCGTTGAACGGGATCGAGAAGAGCTGATCGCCCGGGGCCGCGTGCATTTGGTTGTTCATGTTCTCCAGCATGGGTCTCAGCATTGCTCTATCGACATAAATACATCTATGTCAGCTCAAACGTTCCTCTTAATAACACGCACATAGATTCAGTTGTGCGTACCCAAATGGCGAATTGAGTGCCTCATTGGGTAGATCCAGAATGTACTGCGGAATGCCTGACCCCACGAGGAAGATGGACACCTCGTCCGAGAAGTTATTGCAATTATGGCGCAGCAGGTCGTAGGTGGCGTCCGTGAAGCGAGAGCTGTTCTCACGTAGGAACTGCTCCAGCTGCTGCTGCGTCCGACTCGTCTCGCCCAGCGTGATGGCACGCACGGGCTGCATGCCATAACGCTGCACCACCAATTCCGGCGCCATGGCTTGAATGCCTCCCCCACCAAAGAAGTATTCCTTGCCAAACACCAACACACCCGTGTGCCACACACCGTCGATGGTTTTGCCTAGCAGCGCCGGCGACAGTTGCCGCGCCATGCCGTGGCTCAGGTCGTACACGTGGAGAGTCACAGTCGACATCTTGGTTACAAAGTTAATTTGATTCTGAGGACGAATAAATCGAAGTGTTCCAGAAGGTACCATAAAACTGGTACCAAAAGTGCGTCAGCCTTTACCATCATTCTGAGCATGATTCATTTTGAGATGGCTACACATGTTGAAGGCAACAACCTAAACAGAACATTGCACTACTGCAGCGGTCTGTAGCCCTGCTTCTTATTCGTAAGCGGTCCGTGAAACTTGCGACCGAGGAAGAGGCCAGCGAGACCAGAGAGGATCACAAGGACAGTCGTAGTGAAGTACGATACAGAGCCCTTGTGCGCGACCTCGACAATCACGGTCTTGGCAGTGGCCGTCGCTCCGCTGCTTGATGACGCAGGAGCAGTAGTAGCAGTCTCAGTGGAGTCAGGCTCAGCGTCTCCACTGTCCTCAGCGCCATCGAAGAACCCCACCTGCTGTAGCCACCACTTGGGATAGAAAATGGATTGAACCGTGAGCATCTTAGCGTAAAAGTTGGAGACCTGGTAGCCGTCGTGGAATGCCGTAACCAGGTAGTCGAACAGATCCGACGAGGCTCGGTGTGCGCGCTGAGCGAACGTCTCGCTCTGCTTCGTGAGAAACTCCACCATGGCCGGCACGCCCCCTTCTCTCTTGTGCTGTGCAGCTTCGATCAGCACGCTACGTAGCATACCGTCAGCGTGACTCTCCACTTCATCCTGCACTCTGGCAACGAACGGACGGGCGTACGAATAGAAGCGAGCCGCCCAGTTTCCAACCAGCGCATGGATCCAGAAAGAAGACTCGCGGTCAAAAGCATACAACGAGCCACGCGCGAGTTGCTTGGGGACATCAGTCGACTGTACAAACACAGGCGTGTACGTCGTGGCGTGAGGCGCATACTGGCCAAACCAGAGGAAGGCGTTGTCCGGGTTGTATGGGTCCAAGATGGATACAAACGAGTAGCTAGCACGGAAGATCGAGATCGCCCGCTCGAAGTGACCACGATCAATGTCTTCCTGAGTAAGGTCGCCGTTCGGCGCCGCGTCGTATCGGTTAGGATCGCCGTACGGGCCGCTCTTCGGTCCCTTGGTCATATCATACGGCGTGCCCTCATAATGGTCCCGCTGGAAGCGCATGATGTCTCGAGGGGACAGAGGAGACGCTGGCTTGACGGAGAACGGGTAGTCGCTAGCAAGCACATCGGTCTCCGGAGACAGCTTAAGCTCCGGGTTAGCCAACGTGAACAAGCGCCAGATTCTACGTGTAGAGTAATATTGGTGCGTATCCTTGCGAGGTTGCGCGTAGACACGAGTGAAGTCGAACGGTGTGCCCTCGTCAGGCTTCCAAAGGTTGTTACGGATGGCCACGTCGTGGATGTTAGGAGACGCCAGAAAATCCGACGGGCGGTTTAGATCCAGCTCACGGATCACGAATTGGTTGGCAACACCACTGATCTGGTCGCTTGGGACGCGCTGGGCAGCCCAAATAGCCGACTTGCCTGTGTCGTCTGGTAGGATGTGGAAAATCCACGCCTCTTTCGTGTCTGTTACTGTAAGCGCTTCACCAGCTTCATCATACACGTCCTTTCCTTCCCATACAGCACCGTAGTATCCGTGCTGCACAGCTAGATCCCCCATCAGCTGAATAGCCTCACGTGCTGTCTGCGCACGCTGCAGTGCAATACGAGAAAGCTCTCCAACATCAAACAGAGCTTCGCCCCCTTGGGTAATCGGTTTAGTCCAGAACCGCGCGGGACACGTACTCTCACCGATAGCCACCTGGTGTTCGTTGATGATACCATAGGCTCCTTCAATGTACGCGAAGGTTTGAGGTACTTCTGGGATACTGCCGATAGCAGGCGTCGTAGTCCAGTTATAGAAGCGAGTATCTAGATTTTCCGGGAGATATTCCTTACCACGAGCACCACCCACTGACAGCATAATGATACAGAAGTTAGCAATGTTGTAACGTTGTACATGTAGGATCTAATAATCTGATTTACCATATCGCGGGTAGTCGAAGGCTGCGAGCACGACGTCGTGCTGAGCGCCGTCCTCATGCGTCTGGGCCGGCACCTTGGCAATACGGAAGTCGCAAGACGAGCAGTCGTTCGTATGAGTCGTCATGGGGGTGCCAGTAGTCGATGCCTGCAGTTTGCATTAGATTGCGTCAACAACAATATCGGTGCCATTTTCGCTTGTGGAAGTAATGCACCTTCGCTCCGACGATGATGGCCGTGCAGCGGTCCTTCGCCTCCACAAGCGAAGCCAGCGTAACAACCGCTAACAGCGGAGCAGCGCGCAGTACTCCGACCATAATGGAACTGTTCTCCTTCTGCGGCAGAGTCTTGCTTGATCTCGGCTGCGTCTTTTGTCGAATGAGTCACATTGGACCCTGTCAAACAAACGAGCAGCCTGATTGGACAAAAAAGATCATCACTAACCAAGCATGAGCCTACCGGCCTCTAGGTCGCTGTTGGCAGAGCTCACCAATGAAGCACCGATAAATGACGGCACATCGCGATCACCCCACGTCATCGTAGAGAATATATTCGTCTCCAGCGGCACGTTGGGGAAGTACACCGATTGCCACTTTAACCGGGCAAGACAAGCTTCACAACAGAGATCGTCGTCATCTTTAGTCGTTGGCGTCGTTATTCGGTTTCTGAGCTGGAGTCACCGCTGATCGTTTTTCCTCAGGGAGAGCGGTTGTTACAACACGTGCTCGTCAGAAGTAAAGTTGCAGGTCCTCGTTCGTTACTAGCAAGAGCTTTCTAGGTGGTTCCACGCGCCGGTCGCATGTTGATCCCTTTGCGGTGGTTCTCATAGCGTGCAGTTTGTGCCTGTCTCCTTGTATCGTCCAGGCGAAGCTTGCGATCGTTGATCTCCGGTCGACAATCAACTTGGCTGCAAAGAGAGCCTTAACTCGGGCAAGCTCGAGTGCGAGACTAGACTTTTAGTGGGAGAGTGGCAACCACCGCTCGATCAGATCATTGCCACGAGCGACAATCGGTGTTGGCCATGCCGTCGCTTCAAAGTGACGATGTCAGCAACTCGGAGCTCATATTTTCCATCGACTGTGGTTTACCGAATGTGGCATGTTGTTTTACAAACAGAAGTCCTACATAATAATACTGGTACTGCTGCTGCTACTACTACTACTACTACTACCAACACCTAGTTCACTACGACATCTCAAACTGCTCATCGAATTCCACACTGTCGGCTACCGCCCATGCTGCCGATAACCGATGAATTAACGATTCAGAATCATGGATCGAGGCATGATGATCGAGCCTCGATCCATTTCGACGTTTGCGATCTTGGGCCGTTTTTTGAAGCTGCCACAGCTGGCGAGTCAAGGCTGGGATCTGCCGTTCCAAGCAGAACGCCAGTCCACAGCCGTCTGCTTTGACAAGAACCTGCCACGACTCATGGTATGACGGCTACCAAAACGCTGAGGCGTTTCTGTGGTTTCTGAAGTTTCATCTTGCTAGTGACGTGGCCGTGAGAGAGTGTCGAAGCTACATGCAGCAGCTCAAATCCAGCGGCGCTGCCAAGGTCTTTGCGAATGACGTCGCCACTGCAAAAAATACTTCAGTACCATCGGGCACAAGCCAAATCATGATTTTCCTTTTGGCATACAGTGTCCAAGTCATTGTAGCAGTTAGCGCAGAAAGGCGCGGGGTGACTGGCAATGTACAGTGCTTTGTACTCCAGCCACCGACTTGGCTCTCCGAGTACATGTAGTAATACTTTTCATGTAAGCAAGTTGTAGTATTGAAAAGTAATACTCGTTTATTTTTGAAAGTAGTAAAATTAATGTGTTAGTACTAAAACACGTACTAATACTTAATCTCAACTGAACTTGTTGCTTGTTCAGTGCTTTGCCAACACATTTCTGTTAGTGACAGAAAAAGTATTATAAACGGTAGTACGTTTTCAAGAATGGTATCTGAAAGTATGATAATAACTGACGGTGAATATCAGCCATAATAATCCTTCAATATTTGTCGTTATTACTAACACGCAATTAAAGTGTTTTGCACACCATGCGGTAACGGAAGACAGTGGCACGCTTGACATTTCTCAGCCTAATCCCGCCACAGCGCACTATTCGGAGTGGGAGTACGGAGCAAGCGCTTTTGTATCGGCATTTCTGCATTAGCGAGAAGAAACCCACGCGGCTGGGGGTCGGTGAGGACTTCTATACCGACAGAGAATGAATCGCCCAATGGCGATGGTTGACCTGCGAGACTCGAGTTTCCTGCAGGACGTGGAGTCGCCGCTAACGGTTCCCAAGGTGACCCCCGAGTCGTCGGAGGGCACGGTGGTCAGCTCGGACGAGGAGGAGACTAACAACCACAGCCACGCCAGCAGCACAGGCCGACCGCCAATGACGCCCATGCGGACTGGTAAGGCAACCGCAGACGAGGTTTTCCTCAGAAATATGCTTGGGCTGCTGAACAAGCGCGGCTACAACGTGCGCGATTCAGCACTGGAGACGTCCATCACTTCATCCTCCGCTAGCTTCACGCGCTCCAGTAGCATCACCAGCACGGGCTCCACTATCTCGTCCGTTTTGCTAGCGTTACGCGAGCCCAATCACGGCCAGACGCCATTCCACATCGCCGTACGCAAGGGCGATGTACAGATACTGGACGCATTACTCGAGCACGAGAGTATCGACGAGCTACTGGACGCCCCCGACTTTAACGGCAACACAGCGCTGCACTTCGCCACAGGCAACTGGAGGCACCCCATGTGCCTCACCATCACTGAGAGGCTACTGGAAGCAGGCGCCAATGTCAACGCACAGAACAAACGCGGCCTCACGCCGCTAGCCGTGCACATGCTCACGCTCAAGATCGACAACCCGACGCTCATTGTGAAGCTGCTTGAAGCCGGAGCCGACCCGAACACAGAGGCCGAAGGTGTCGCTGTGTTGCATCTCGCTGCGCGTCGCGATCTACCCGTGATTTCTGGAGTGTTGGTCGCCTTTGGAGCGTCGATGTTGCAGCTGAACACGGACGGACTCATGTGCTACGAAGTGGCGCCCAATCGCGTCAAGCAGTTCATGGTACGCAGCATCAACAAGACGCCGGCTTATCTGCCAATGACACAACGCAGCACTTGCATGCGATGCAAGTCCCCGACGCTGATTAACTCTAAAAAGGCGTTCGGCAACATGATGAAGAAGGTACTGGGCATGCACATGTGCGCCCACCAATGCAACTGCTATCACTGCGGGATGCTCTTTTGCTCGCAGTGCTTAAAACCTTCAGCCGCTGTCAGTGCGATCCCCTTCGTGCGGGACGACGACGACCCGGATGACAAGATCAAAACCTGCCGTTTGTGTGAAGCAGTTCTGCTGGAGCGCAAGAGGAAGCAGGCGACGCAACACGCCTTCGACATGCACCTCATGGGCTTCAACAGGACCGTATAGACACTGACGGACTGCGCATTTTTAAACGCAGACACTATCACCGCAAAGGCGACAACAAAACTCGACGGAAGAGTGGAAAAATTGTAAAGACAGAGGAGACCGCACCAAAGGGAGCGACTCGGCGGCCTTCTTCTCTATCTTCCCGACTGCTGAGTCGCCCGGACCGATAACTTAATATGAGCAGCGTGCATTTTTGTTTTCCATTTTTTTTACTCAAACATGCTGCCGAGACCGTTCTCTTCTGACAGTCCGTCGTCGGCGTTGGCGCGTTTGGCTTCACGCATCGCTGCCTTCTCCTGGCCGCGCTCGTTGTGTGCCGGATCGAACGTCGGATATGCGTCCAGTACGAACTTGCCCTGAGTACTGGTAGCTTCGATTGCACGAACAGGGAATTGTGCAAACGCAGTGAAGTGATGTAGCGTAATTGCAGTGATCACTGTAGTGTCCAGTGTGAGTTGACTGGAAGCTTCGGTCTGCTCACCATGGAAAGGCACATGGACGAAGTGGTCGCAGATAGCACGCTGCTCCTCCGAAAGCCCAGGGAACTGCATACCAATAAGCGTAAATTAGTACAAGAGATGACGCCGGGTGCCTCATTAACTAACCTCGTTGTCGACGACGAATGCGCTGGTTCCTTCATAGGGTGTCGCGTGGGCCGCTGATACATCACACAACAGATATCAACCCAGTCAATCAAAGATTCCTGACGCGAATCTCCGCAGGAAAATCTTCGCACAACACTTCATGAAGCTTTCAAGGCTCGTACGTACCAAACGACTCGGCTGGTTGGTTGCTTAGTCCGAAGATGGTGCAGCCTTTTGTTTTCAGGTACTTGCGAGCTTCTGCAAAGTCGTAGAACTGTACGACGTCCACGTATTTCTGCGCTCGGTGCGCTCCATGCGTGCCGAAGCGTTCGGAACCCACTGCTCTCCCGTAAACAAGCAACCCAAATTTTTCGTTAATCCACTCAAGAATTTTTGGGACACGAGTCATTCTCGCACTCACCGACCAACACTTGGGCCGTCCCGAAGGCGGACGCAGTGCGCAGATATGTGCCCAGGTTTTGGCGTCCACTCTTGTTGGACAGGACCATGTACAACTCCACCGAGCCCGCAGCGGAGCTTGTCGTCGTCATGGTCTCCTTTCCAGTCGCTAAATAGCAGCTTTACCTCGATTTAGTGACTCTGTGACGTGTGAGAATCAGGTAACACTTTCTGTAGTTGCCTCGATGCACTGCTCCTTGGCGAAGAACTTGCAGAAACTGCGATGAGTGGACCTCCCTTGACTGGCCTGGAGCACTTTGGAGTGTTTAGCGAACTCATTATACCGAGCGCGTAAATGCCAAATGTCCTCGTCTTGTAAGTCCACCAGCGGGTGCAACTGCGACTTGTCCGCGACGAATTCCAACTCAAGACGTTGCAGTCCTGCACTAGCTGATTCGTCCTGAGGAGAATTTGTGGATGGAAGCACAGCGCCGTTCGTGAAATGTAACATTTTACGTAACATTCCAAAACAATGTCGGAATTTTGCTGCAGGGTGCACATTAGAATCAAGACACGAGCTGTCTCCGAACACCGCGATGCGACCGCCGTAGATGGAAGGCACTTGATAAAGACCCAGTACAGGAACATCCGTCAGAGTTTTCTCGGATCCATTTAAGGTCTTGGCACTTTGGTCGACAGCATCAATGTAGCCCAAGTATCCGCCTACGGGGAAATTTGTGAGATACGATCCGGACCAGTACGGGAACGACGAGTCGTTGCCTGAATCCATCAGTGAAACGCTGGAGCTGTACACCACTCCGTCTCCGAATGCAATGTGGAAATCACGCAATAACTCGTTAATGGCTGGGATGTTCGATCCACCAGTGATAGCGTGCCACTTGCTTAAAGTACTGGTGTCGAAAAGCTGCAAGGAATCCAGGATGCGATTGTCGTACCAGTCAGCGAACACAATAAGTGACACGTTCGAGTACTTGACGGCAGCTTGAAGCGCTACGATTTCATCTCTAAAAAATTCCTCCTCGGGGTCGACAATCATGACGACGCCGTATTTTCCAAGATCCAAGCACGAGTATTCAAACGGTAAGATCTCCACGAAAAAACCTTCTCCGGTTAAGAAGTTCCACATCTGGTGGTAGTTTGTGTGCGGGTGATCGCCTGCTACGTCCATAAGATCATGTTGGTTTTCCAGGTTGTCGCGCGGTACGAATGCTGACGGATAGGGGATGTTGTGGAACTGGTCCCACAGAATTCGTTTGGGCGCTGGGGGAGTAGGAATGATCTTGATGGTTAGTGGGATAAGCAGCTCGTCTACTTTGATGCCGTTCTCCACCTCCAGACGTAACGATCCCTCAGCAATACCCTCAAAGGCAGCAGCTTTCTCTTTAACCTCAATAAAGACACCAATCGAGCCAAAGTACGGCCATATCGCGGAAGGCGATGTCGTCGAAATCGCCAAATGCTCGCCATTATTGCCGTTTATCCACTGGGGTGGCTTCTTGATTGTACCGACGACGGATGAAGGGTTCATGATGGTCAGATTGACCATAAGAGGCAACGCACTGTGATAAAGTGGTTGTAAGCAGTACGGCCACATGCGAGGACAGTCCGTTAAGTCAATTCTGTCCGGAAAAGAGCTTGGCTTCAAGACGGTAGGGACAACGTCACTGTCTGGTCGTGTGACATTTTGTGCGGTTTGATAACGCGCCCACAATTTTTCTACTGCTTGACCGGCTTTGGAGATGTTGAGAACTCCATTTCCTTGCTCGAAAATATGGTTTCGAACCAAATGCTCGGAATCGTAGCGAGCTTCCAGTTTGTCAGCACTTTCAAGTAAAATTTGTTTCATCGATGCTGGGTTCAACAGGTTCCACCTTTCTTCAACAGGGATCATGGACGCCAGAACTGCTATTGACGCCGATAAAATTGGTGCCGACGCACTGGTTCCAGAAAGCACTTTACATCCACCTGAGGCATCCGCTCCAGGAACGTCTTCAGCGAGTGTAACGATATCGGGCTTCACGCGACCAGACCCAAATGGAAGTTCCCACGTCGTCATACCACGTGAAGAAAACTCTGCGATCGCGTTGTCTTTTGTGACCCCACCTACTCCGATGACTTCGACTTGATCTGCTGGATTGGACAGCAAACCATAGTGAGGCCCATCATTACCGACTGCAGATACCTATAGGTGAAAGCCAATCTGGTTAGTTCATTACTTTCATGCAATAAAAGAATAAAGTCGTCTTACCAGAATTATTCCATGCGCTGCTAGTTCCTTAACTTTGTCAACAAACGGCAGGTCCTGGAAGTCCGGTCCTCCTGTACTCAAATTCAGTACTTGAATCCCCTTAAACAGCGCATAATTAAATGCATCCAAGTACCAAGACGTAAACGAAAGCTGCTCCCCAGTAAACATACGAAATACGAATAGTTCCGCTTCCGGTGCAATCCCCGGACATCTCGAATCCGTCCCACTTATAACTCCAGCAACAAATGTGCCATGACCCACCGTGTCGGTATTCTTTGGCTCATGCGTCCAGTTAATTTTCTCTTTCACATTCGTCAATTTCGACGACAGTCCCGTATCGAACACCCCCACTTTCACACCTTGTCCTTTAAAACCCCGTTCCCAAAGCTCCCGCACCCCCAATTCATCCACCAGCAGCGGTGACTCTTTCCTCAATCCAAACAATTTTCTTGTAGGTTCATTCATTGTCCGTTTGCTTCCCACGGTCTGCAATTTATGTGCTTGGTCTCGCTGTTCCAGTTCCAGTAATGCAATATTCCTGTACGCACTATTCACTCGGATGGCTTTAATCTGCTCCGTGCCTTTATAGTTTTGCATTGCTCCTTCAGACGCATGACAAACATTCTTGCTTGCAGCTGTTGCATCAGCTTTCAATTCACAGGAAAATATGCGCAACACGACAAAGTCTGTGGGTGCTTGTCGTGCGAATTCGGATCGTCCAGTGATACCCAGCGCAAAATCGGCCGCTGCAGAGCTGATGTAGCTACTGACAAGCTGTTCTTGGAACTCCAATGCGTCATAGTCACGTAACTGCGCGATATATTCCTGTGTCAATGGATTCTCGTAAAATCGGCATGGCTTTGACTGCGCCTGTGTAGCTCCAGCGACGGGTAAATGCGACAATACACACACCGCTAAAAGTGCAGTGATCCTTGCTATCACCCGATGTATCGCACGCCGCCACGCGACATCTGTGAGTCCCGCACGGGTCCCGAACATGAGCGTCTTGCTCTCCATGGCGCTCCAATCATCAACCGTACTGAACTGGGTGAAGCAAGAATGATGGTCTGATACTGAAACCAGGATAGATGCATGAGAATCAGATTTTTCACGTAATCTGATTCCACGTCATTTTGAAGCCACTTTCAACATGGTGGCGATCGTCGGGTTTGGCTCGCTCCTCTCCGGTAAATAGTAAGCATTTCGCGTGCAAACTACGGCCTCTAATAGTTCTTTGACACCAATGCAGAGGCGTCGGCACGCTCGACGTTCGGCGACGGCGTGCACAACTTCCGCCTGGCGACCGTGCTCGACTACCGTCGGGTGTTCGCTCACCCAGCTTCCATCTTTTTCCAGCGAGGCATTGCCAACCTCGAAACGAAGGTGCAACTGATAAACTATCATTTTGCAGTTGATCCGATGGAGTGTTGGTGATAATTGTCAATTGGGTGTGGCAGGAGATAGCGAGTTTGTCAACGGCGCCCGCGCCAGGGTGTAAATTCCTAGTCAGCGTATTTGACATCCCCGAGGAGCTGTTACCGGATTTTTACGAGCGCGAGGAGGAGTTCAAGATCATCAGTGCAAAGTTTCAAGAGCTGGATGGCAGTGCTGGAGGCGAGGTGCCTTGAGTATATTGTTTGAGAAACTGGTGGAAAGTGGAAAAGTGATGAGGCTTTGGTGGTGTTTGTGAAGGCGCTGATGTGCACGAGGTGGAGCGATGAAGAATACATTGCCAAACGGTAGGGGGTTGCAGCTGAGTGTGTGCTACAAGGAATTGTGTCCGCCAACATAGTTGCTGTTGCGCAGGGGGCAAGATACTTTCGACTGTAAGTATAAAGTCTACGGGTTGAACACGATTTGGGGCTGGAACGCTGACAGCGGCATCCTTCCGTGTCGAGTACGGGGAAAAAATCTGTGGATCCAGTAAAAAGTAGCAACTTGAACGAGAAATTTGTGTGACCTTCTCTCATTTAGGTGTACCTTCGCCACTGTCTGCTGGCTGTCAAGAAGCTTGGACAGGTGCGTTTGCAGCAAATTTCCTTCATTGGAATGGAGTACGCTGACATGATGGTTATTAACTTACCTACAGGATGTGTACGACGACTTTGTTGCTACTACGTACCTTGGTGATCGTGCCACAAGCATCAAGGAGTACATCGAAGCCAACCCGTCCATCATGCTCGAGCGTCCTCCTCCTCATCTTGTGGACCGTTACAGTGGCTAAACGCTTCTAGACTAAGTAGCAGCGTTAGGCAGAAACGAATAAGGACCGATACGGTATGTTTTGAGCTTCATGTTCTCAGGTTGCAGGACTTTCCGAGGTAAAAGACTTCTTGTTGCGGGAGTTTTTTTATTGTCTATGCGAGATACGTCTCACTGATGGTTAGTTGCTGTTGTGGTCATCCCTGAAACTTCTTGCGACGGTTCCCATTTTTCAGTCGTTTTCAATTCTGGAAACCATTCTCCGATTTCGCCTTTGTGGAGGAGAAGCACCAGCGTCGTTGATGTCATGAGGATTTCTGGAAACTCGCATCACTTGAAGAAGACCTCGTTGTGGGAGAATGATAACCAGACCGATCCGGAGGCTGAGCTTACAACTGCAGATATTGTGGCCAAAGCTACTGCTACATTTCGAGCTACTCTCGGAGTAAATAACCCGGAAGGCATTTGGAGTGCATTGGGATTACATATCCAGAAGCAGCTTGTGCGGCACAATGCAGTCAGTATCACTGACTTCGGTGCGTTTGGCTTTAACCAGAGTGATGAACCAGTGTTCGTGCCGGACCCAGTGTTTCTCCATATGACGCGACTGTGCTTAGCATCTCGGAAACGTGGCGATCAAGTACAACCAGCTTTATCAGAAGATGAGAACGTTGCAAGTATCGAAATACATGAAGTTGCTGCTGAGTATCTGCAAAACTGCAGCAAAGACTTGGTGAAATCGGTAATCACTAGTGTTCTGGCTTGGGTGATTGCGTGGGCGAAAGACGGTCAGGAGTTGAGACTAAGCTTTCACCCAGTTGGTGAATGGATTTGTGATGGTAACAGTGTGGATTTCAAATTCTCGGAATATTTTCTTAAGAAATTAGAACTCATCAAGTTAAAGGGAGACAGAGCAAAGAACCCAGAGTCCTCGAGCGATGGCAACCACTGTGACAACCAGCTTGAGGATCAGTATCACGTAGATGATGATCCCTATGACGTTCACTCAATTGTATCAGGTGCCACGAAGATGAGTTCTAGCTCTAAACGTCTAAAAGGACAGCGCGCAGTGGATATCTCTCCATCCTCTGTAAAGGAAGCAACAATAAGAAATGCTGCTCCTGTTACTCGTTCTCGATCAAAACTATGGAAACCAACGCTCTCATCGATAGCCAAGCAGTTACCGCCTCATGGACAGCGTCGCACCCGTACTGAAGCATCGGCGAAGGGGACAAGCAGCAACAAGCGAAGAACAAGTTCGAACCAAAAATCTGCAGCTAATCGAAGCCGGTCTGTATCATCGAAAATTGATCCAACCGACATCGAAGCTGCTGCGAAAGAAATAGTCGATGCTGTGAAAAACTCTCGCCCCACGACAGCATCCAGCACTCGAACTTGTAGAACCAATCAGAGTGCTAAGACTGCTTCGCAGCCTACAACACAGCAATTGGAGACTATTGATCGATTACGCAAGAGACTCCGAAGAACCAAGGCAGTGCAGGGACTCAACGCGATAGTTGCAGTCTTGAATCCTATCAAGACGAGCGCCGTATCGTCCACTGAACTCAGTTTATCACTACGAAAACTAGGTGTCAAAATCTCATCAGCCGAGCTCAAGGAGATCGCGACATCTTTTGCTCACGAGAAACGAGGGTATATAGACACTCGCAAACTTCTCGATGCTCTTCGAGGGCCACCGTTGAGTGGCGAAAGACTTGATCTAGTGACAAGAATTTTCCGTCAACTGGATCCAGAATGGTCAGGGTCGGTGCACATTGACAATTTGGTCAAACATTATGAAGTGGGGTTTCTGCCACAAGTTCGAGACGGGAAGCAAAGTAGACTGGAAGCTCTCACAGAATTTCTTCAAGAATGGGCCTGCATCACTGTTGCTACCGACAACATATCGTTCGAAACGTTTGCCGAGTACTATCATGTAGGTATCTTGCTATCATATTGTGTTAAAAGCCTTCATCTTACCCCTGTGTCATCTATTCTTTGTCAGAATGTAAGCGCCTGTATCGATAGTGATGCTGACTTCGCGCAGTTAATACACCAAACCTGGCATATACCCCAAGATCAAAACCAAAACCACGATAATCATTCATGTTCGGGAAGCAGCAACAACGTAGCAACTTCGACCTCCGCTGTGGCGTCGGGTGATTTTTCAGCTCCTCCGTTGGATGAGAATATATTGTCTGATACAGAGGGGATGATGATGCATTCAGAAACAACAACTTCTCCAGGCGAGGTGTGGTCGTATCTCCGCACCTTGTTACTATTCCCGCAAAACTTCGAAGATGGGGCCAGAAGATTGCCAACTCTGGATAATATGTGTCGCCGACTAGGTGCAAATCGCGTTTTGGGTGACGGTAACGAGAGGATGAACATCAAAGCTTTTGCTCATGCGCTGGTTTTGCTGGACAAACGGTTGCCATACAAGAAAGCATACGATCTGGGGCGCTATGTGGCTGCACATTGTTGCAAAGAACTTGGCGATAGTGAAACCATAGTGCTTCAGTCACTGTACGATCAGATTATGACTAACCCGAACGAAAAAACGGCCAAAGAACTAGCAATGGATTCCAACTACGTCGAGTACTACGCCTCAAGAGCTATCCACAGGATTCGTGCACGCGTGAAAGAGCTTCGTACCAGCGATAACGCAACTGACAGTTCTTCACTCGTGGATCTGACAACTTTAGAGAAATGGTTACAGGCATCGAGTTCCAATGGGGAATCCCTTCTGTTGAAGTACGAATTGAGAAGCGCTCTGCTAAAAGTCGGCATCGACATCACCTATCACGATCTGGATTACCTCTTCGCCTACTTTGACGTTGATCGCCAAGGTTTCATCAACTACGAAACGTTTTTGGATGCACTCCGTAATCCCTCGCGTGTTCTACCAAAACTTACCAAGCAGAAGGAAAAGCAAGTGATGATACCAGAACGAGCTTGCGAGAATACTACTAACGTCCAGCCATCAAATAGTTTGATCTCGACAGTATCAGCTCCGCCTGCTCGACGTAGAAAACAGCTCACACCTCGAGAGCCGCAGCCCAACTACCGTCGCCGAAACGTGATCTATCGAACGATCTATGACCAAAACGCAAGACCGATTTTCACCGACTTATCACTGAACCTCAATTTCCTCGGAATCGAGCGACGACGTCGCTGTCATGCTGCACAATTGATACAAACGGTATTTCGAGGATTTCGCGCTCGCCAGATCGTATCCCAACTTCGTCGTAAAGTGGCCGCCAGGAATTGTCGCTTCAATACTTTGGCTCAGGAACAGCAACAATGGCTTGCCAACAAGAAGATCCACCGAACTGCTCTACCGACCGCGTATGGTTTCTAGACAAGATGTTTTTTTATAAAGTCGATAGTGCTTCTTCCTTTAAAATTTACATGGAGAGGTGCCGGTGGAATTAGCCTCACAGACCCATTCCAACGCGGCCGCTCAGAAATTATGCAGGGCAAATCTCTTGATCGCGATTCACCACAAGGGCGGCATGGCCGCCCGTACTGTGCCTTAGGCAAGGCCTGCCCTTTTTTGAGTTGGTCGTGAAGATGCAACGCTTGAACCTATAGAATAAACTGTCACGGTTGTACGTGAGGGTGAACGTATTGTTTTTTTGCTTAAGCTGTTCAAATTGAAGTGATAATGTTGTACATGAGCAACATAACAACTTCAATGACGTGTCAATTTTTTCCTTCTTCAGCAAAGGAAATATGCTATCAAAATGAACTGAAAGACACGATACGTGATATCCTGTGGCATTTCGAGGGAGACACTAAAACGGCAAACGCAAAATACATTTAAAAAAAATCTTTCAAGCAGAGAATGACGTGTTTACGTCTCCATCGGACAAGATTTGGCGACAGCAAACGCCGCAATTCTTAGCCGTTGATACACAGTATAGAAGCGATAAGAATGCAAGCATGTGATACATGTACGGGAGCCATGCCAGCTTGTATTGTCACGAGCGAAAAAGCAGCGCTTGACACGAATCACTGCATGTCTCGGACAATATTTCCGCCATCGAGATATGCTCGTCAGCGCGGACCCTCGAGCCCGTGACTGGCAACGGTTATGAGAAAAGCTGAACACATAAGACCCAACTAAATTTCATGACATCCAAGAGGCTGCTATCAAGTGTACGCGGTGAACAAGAAAATTGGAGGACGAGTTATTTCGCCCTGGGCTGAGAAATGGCGGTTTTGCATTTCATTTGTCTTGTGAAGGCGATTGGTAGAGGGACGTCTATAGCGAGTCCGACAAGGCCTACGTCTCACTCCTAGAAAAGAGACCTCTGTTCAACATCAGTCACAAATGGGTGGTGGTGCTTCAAAACACGCATTGTTACGGCGGTCTGACAGTCGATTAGATGCTCTAATCGCTGAGGCCAGGAAACACCCCGAGCAGGGGCGAATGCTCGATCTTTCCTTACAGCAAATTTCTCCCGGAATGCGTGCAGAGATCGACAAGACTCGGCCGGCAACAGATCGCCCAATATCACGACCTTGGTTCGATGAAACAACTACTTCCTTGGACGGGGCTTCAGATACAGTGGAGAAGGGCGTCACGAATTCTGACGCAGATGAGAAGAGCGGGCGCGATGGCGAAGAAGAAGAGGGAGGCTACTCCACTGACGACTTCGAGGATGATGAGGTCACTGAATGGAAGAAAGGTGCCTCTATCGGTGCTGGAAGCTACGGAACGGTGCGTACGGCTTGTTTAACAAGATTGTGATTCTTCTATCTTACTTGTCTCCTACCCTAGGTGTACTTGGCCCGTGATGAAGACACTGGTTGTTTGATGGCAGTGAAGGAGATCCCTATTTTGGAGGAGACCGACTCTGCGATTCGAGAAGCCACACGAGAAGTGGAATTGCTGCGAGGCTTGAAACATGAGAATATTGTGAAATACCTCGGCTGTCACGTGGATAACACGGCACAGACGTTGTCAATCTTCACGGAATGGGTTCCTGGAGGTAGTCTCGAGCACAATCGTAAGCTGTTTGGAGGCAACGAAAGGGTTGTACGTCGATTTACGCATCAGCTACTCTCCGGAGTCGCTTATCTCCACTCCAAGAATATTATCCACCACGACATTAAGGTAAATCTTCAACTTTTTCCTACTCTTAATCCACTTTACTGATCCCTTCTTATTTTTTTTATCAGCCCGCAAATATTCTGGTAGACCAGAATGGTGTCGTTAAGATCGCCGACTTCGGTTCTTCTCGGTTAATCAACAGCGCCACCATCCCCAATGGCTCGATGCTATCACTGCACGGTACTCCGAACTACATGGCACCCGAAGTCATCAAACAATCAACGGGTCGTAGTCGAAAGGCTGACATCTGGAGTCTTGGCTGCACGGTTCTTCGTCTACTGACAGGAGGTCCTCTTTGGGGAGACCGTCGCTTTGATTCCCAAGCTGCGTTGTTGTACTACATCGCCAACATGGAAGAGCTCCCACCGCTACCTGATACTCTGTCGGCCAACGCTCGAGAGTTTATCCTGGCTTGCCTCCAGATCGATCCGTCCATGCGTCCAGATGCCACAGAGTTGCTCAAATATCCGTTCGCTCAATGTGCTGGACAAAAATCAGAGTCTGTTTCACCCGAACCAGTTGTAACTACCCCTCGGCGTCACACAGCACCGTCAGTACCACCACACTCACGTAAATCGCATTACCGTACTCGTTCCGAGAGAAAGGATGTAGCCCCAAAGAAGAGCGATCCTCGTTTAGATTCAGTTCCCACTCTGACAAGACGTCCGTCCCTCGTGTCGACACTGTTCGCTTCACCACAAGACGCCAAAACGGAGCTACACGCCGATAAAGAGATGGCTACAGAGGCCGACTGCGAATTAGTCCTTGCGACTTGTGGCTCTGACCCGGACTCGCCCACTAGACAAGAAGAAAACAATGATTTCGTAATAGCAACCTGGGACGACCAGCCCATTCTGTCCGCCGCGGCACGAAAGGAGCGTGAAAAGCGTCAAGCGGAGGCCGCCGAGGCTGCTCGAAGACGCCACGAACGCGAGCAGAAGTTCCAGGAGGAACTCGCAGCGTATCGCCATGAATCGTTCACTGGTCGAGCGTAGCTTGTCAATGTACTGAAGTATTTATTATCCCTTCTCCAACGCTGCACTAATTAGCGGGTTGTGACGTGTCACTGCCTCCACTATTCCCTTCAATCCCTTCAGCATCGTCTTCGTACTCTTCGTCGTATCCTTCAGCCATCGATGTAAGAGGAAGTGGTGGGCCCAGTATCAAGTTGCAGAGGAGACTAAAGCTCTCGGACACCAGGAAGTAGAGTAGCAACCACTGAACGCGTACAAACACAGCTAGTAGACAAATGAGGGCGGCGTAAACCGCCCAAACGTCAAGTAAAGCGGTCTTGTGCCATGGAGCTGTCAGGTTTAGTGTAGCCAAATGATCGAACCCCAGTCGTAGCGCAGCGTCGATCACGTCAATAGCTCGATTGGTGCCACCAGCGCGTTCCAACAAGGTACCGACTTTCCTTGCAGCACGGGTATAGGAGGAATTGGTGAGTAACTCACTGACTGCACCGTGTACATACGGACCCGACAGGAGATTCTTGTCTAGCGAAATACCCGCTCCAGAATCCTCAACACGTGCGGCCACATCCGGTTGGTCTACTAAGAAGGGAATACACAACAACGGTTTACCCATGACCAAAGCTTCTTGAGCTGACACCATTCCACAGTGCGAGACTACAAGTCTGACGGCTGGGTGACTCAGGATTTCCAGGTTCGACAGCGATGAACTAGGTGGCTTTACAACCAGAGAAGGCGGCAATGCAGGCGGTAAAATACCGCGTTGATCAGTCGGAAGAATCCATAGAATCTTCACAGGTGGATCTTCAGGTCCCATTAGCAGCCCTTCTACGAGTGCTTGAGCCTGCCATGCGTCGATGTACGCCATCGTCCCCAGATTCAGGTATACCACGCCTCCAGCAGCTGTCTCAAGGTCATGCTCTGTAGACTTGGCTCGATGAGATGCTGAGCGCTGGCGTAGCCGCAACGACGGTGTTGAGTCAATAGACGCATCCAGCCAGCTCAGTAGCGCCGATGGAAGAGGCTGACGTTCTAACTTGCTAGCATTTCCACCTGGTACCGGCATTATCGGTCCCACAGCATCCACAAGAGGTGAAAGAGGTTGCGGATGTTCAAGACCAAATGCTGTGTTTAAAATCACACGAGCTCCCTTGAATAAATCGTGTTGGGACCGAAACGGAGGCAGGTCCAACTCATATCGCATCTTGTTGAGCTCCATGAACGGCGGTGTTAACGCCACTGATAGTAACCTCGGGAATAGAATATTCATACACCGATTCCAGAGAGACATGTTCTCGCTGAATCCCGTGCCCCATGCAGGCACATAACTTGGCGCTCCACCAAGATCAAATAGAAGGGATGGCGAGTTCAGAATGTAGGGGATTTTCAACTTATGCGCGAGATCTTGAGCTCCCACAGAGGCAATATCCATCACCAATAGGTCCGGTACATTAGTATTGGTCCCGTTGTTTTCTAGCTTAGGTAGCAATGCGTCGAACATGGGCCTGGCTGCTCGGACGTAAATGTCGTTAAACATGGTTAAAATTCCTCGGAAATTCGAGGCGTCGCGCGTCATAGCTCGGAGCTTGACACGCAGATCTTCGGCAGAGATGGGGAAAGCCCCAGCGGAGAGGAAAGGGACTCCGTACGCGTGTGCCCACTCCCGTCCCGAGTCGTGGGTGGCGAATGATACACGGTATCCTCGCTCTTTCATCTCGCTAGCCACTCGGAGCAACGGTTGCGCGTGTCCTTTAATAGCGATGGATACGAACATAATGTGGCGCTCATGTGGGTCTACTGGGGGTACTGGAGCTGGCGCGGGTGGCGGCGCTGAGCACGAAAACTCGCCATTGTCGGACAAACAGACGGGGTCGGGAGCTACAGATTCGGGAGCTTCTACGGAGAATTTGGAGCTGGAACTTGCTGATGAACTAGAGAATGTGGCGGTGTAGCTGGTCACGTACGTTGCATACGCGAAGACGGACAGCAAGAGGATAAAGAGAGGCCGCAGTAGCGACGTCTGCAGCTGGGGGTGCCGCACCATACGTATTGCGTCCCGATAAGTCTATTGGATATGTGGTCCACATCGAATATGAGTGGTGCACACCACGTGATCTTGAAGCGACGTTGAGTAACAGACAAAGGTTTAGCGGAGTCACTTGTTCTCTGGAACAAAAAGCCGCCAAGTTGGCCGAGCACTGATAACAGGATGATTTTCACTGCTTCCGATGGCAAGAAGTTCGAGGACCGAGCAGCATGGAGGCTCTACGAGTTCGAATTGACTTACACGTTCCGCAACAAAAAGAACGAAACGCTCATGAAGCTACCTGGGCAGATTGAAGGGTGCGTCGTTACTGTTGTTTGAGACTAATTTATTTATTTATTGATATTGTTTTGACTTTGGTGGCGGTGGTATGGGCTTCGATAGACAACCTTTTGACATTTCAGACCTGGAGGGAAGCACAATCATGCTGCTGGATCACATCAACCAGGTGCAGATCGACAACCTGTCAAACTGCCGGGTATTCGTCGGTAAGTCTGTATTAAAAGGAAAGTGCGTTGAATGGATCCATATTCACTGTAACTGTGGTATTAGGTCCGAGCTCGGAGTCTGTTTTCGTTCGGAATTGCACCAACTGCGTCTTCACCATCGCGTGGTAAGAACCGCATGTGTTTTCTTGTATTCTAGCGCTATCTGAGAATACGTTTGGTTTTATGTCGTTGCCAGCAAGCAACTCCGTACTAGGGACTGCTCGGGCTGCTCCATCTATCTGTATTCGCTGACAGATCCTATAATCGAGACTTCACAGCAGATGGCATTTGCCCCATTCAACGGGGCTTACTGCGGCATTGAGCGGGTATGTTCATGAATCTAAAGCTTATCTGTAAAACAGAAAACCTCGTTGACGCTGATGTTAATACGTGCTACAGAACTTCACGGACGCACGGTTGGAACCAACAAATAACCACTGGTCACAGGTTTACGACTTCAATGATCCCGACAAGACAGGGGCCAATTGGCGCATTCTCAGTGAGTTCTTGTGACTCCTTCAGTCAGCTAACATAAATTGACACTGTATTTGCATCTTAGAACAAGAGGAAGAAGTGGTGCCATGGGTGGTCGACATTGAACTGCAAGTTCCTGGTGCGGCTACTTCGTTGGGTGCTTGCGTGAATCCTGTTGCGCGTGACTCCGGCTTCGTTAAGTACACTGACAGCTCTTCGTCAGCCACTGGCGGCATGCAATCGTTCACATTTAACACCTCTCAGAAGGAAGCCACGAAGGTGATGCAGACTACTACATCGGATACCCCGGTTACACCTTCCATCCCAGCTACACCAGCGCCAGCGCCACCTCAACCTCAGTCTGTGCCGATCGCTCCCACGACTGCAGCTCCAGCTCCACCAGCCCCTCCTGTCCAAGCTCCAATGGCACCTCCACCTACTCCCGTCGAAGGATCTCACGCTCTGAAGCAGGCTATTGCTGCCACAGCAGAACACGTCGCACCCCCGTCTACGATGGCTCCAGTGCTGCCTCCTGTTGAAGGCGCCGACTTGACCACGAAAGGGTACGTTAGTGTGTGTCAGACATGGCTACATTTTAAACTCTTGATCTCACATGTTGTCGTGGTTGCACTACAGAAAGGAAGAGCCCGTCGTGGACGCCGTCGTGGAGCAAGTCACAGAGATGATGGGGATGATGTAAGGCCGCAAGATACAGTAGAACGGAATACTTTGCACATGTGCTGTGGATTCCCCAAACATGACTACAAAAATAAAACTTGCTTTCAGTATACCTTGAAATTGTCACAATTGAAAACTGTGGCCATGGCACGGAATAGAAATGTCGAGAACCCTGTTCGGTCCGCGACGCTGCGTAAATGGTACGCTAGGGCCTGGTGGGTGGGCGTGCACGTGTACGGCTATGTGGTCCTGGGTGTCAAGGGCGCTTTGAGTCCGCAAGCGCTGCCAACCGGTCAGTTCGTGGTGTATTTGGTCGTGGCAGTTGCAGCCATTTCGTGCTACGTGGTGCTGCAGTGCTCGTCGCCCGGACAGCTCGACAAGAGACCAATGCTGGCACCGGTTCAAACTACAACACCTACAGAACTTGGTAGTTCACCACGAATGGCAACGGAAGATGATGACGACACGGAATTGCTAGGCGATGGAGAGGAGAACGAACATCAGGGGAGCAGCACTGATCTGCACTTCTGCAACGAGTGTCACGTGTTCCAACCACTAAGGACGAAACACTGGTGCGACAACGGATCGGTCTATTGGTATAACGACGAAGATGCAGCAGTTCTGACGTAGTTGTTTGTGTGGTAATTGAAGTAAGGATTGCGCTCGGTGTACGCGACAATACGACCACCAGTACGTGTTGCAGTCGGCAGTGTTGATGGTTCTACTACAAGACGAATAACTTGATGCTTTTGCCGTTCACTTGCAGTTGCGACTGCGTTGGGACTTGCGTGGGCGAGAACAACCGTCGGTTGTTCGTGTTGTACTTGTTCCTGCAGATTCTGGAAGGTGCGGCGATGATCGATGTGACATCAGAGGCTTTCACGGAGCAAGACGACGTCAACGACTGGTTCAAGGCCAACGCGTTGTTCATTGTGCTGTGGTTCATGCTCATGTGCGTGCTCCTCATCGTCGTACCTCTCTTCTGCTACCAGGCATACCTCATCTCGACGAACCAGGTGCGTACATACCCTGGATTCCCGCGATTGTAACACCCATGCCAAACATGCACTAAAGGTGATGATGTTTGCACCAACGAAAGCTAACACTATCGGTGTTTTGACAGACCTCATGGGAACATGCCCGCCGCTCATCCATCACCTACTTGCAAAATTTGCCGGACAAACGCTCTCCATTCGACCGCGGCGTTCTACAAAACTGGTGGGTCTTCCTCTCCAATGGTGACAGCAACAAATGGGTTCATCAAAGTGTAGCCAAGCCGATTACGTCGCACCCAGATGACTCTTCCTCGCTCGTATAGCAAATAATATACAATTTTGACTAAATCACAGACTAAATCACATTTACATGCAAAAAAAAACACCTGTGTCAACCTGCACACGTGTTCGACCGCGGCATTGAGCTTCCGCAACGATCACAGCCATGGTCCTGACCTCCTCGGCGCTCAATGCGGCGCTTATTCTCGTCTCCGTTGCTGTAGTAACAGGCGCCGTACTGTTATTCGCCTGGATTCGCGCTCCTATTGCTGAAGCCAAGCGGCTCGCTGAAGAGCTGGACCCACCGCAAGAAGCCACGTACCAAGACCCGAATACCAACAAACTGTGCGTACATGACTTCACAATGAAGACATTATGAGTGCAACCATCACTAACTCATACTACAATTTTTGTGTGCGTACAGATTGCCATTTGGGTCTTTAGGCGACGAGAAGGCTGAGGTGTCACTGACGGTGGTGATTCCAGCGTACAATGAGGAGCAACGTATCCTGGTGACGATCAAAGACACGGTGGCGTTTTTGGATGAAAAGAAGCAGAAAGATTCTTCGTTCTCGTACGAAATTATCATAGTGGACGACTGCAGTACGGACAGAACAGTGGATGTGGTCATGAAGGAGGTGCAGGAGTACTCGGTGGAGCGTATCCGTCTTTTGAAGCTACAGAAGAACCACGGCAAGGGTGGAGCCATCCGCAAGGGCATCATGCGAGCTCGTGGTCTGCAGATTTTGTTCGCAGATGCAGACAATGCTACGGAAATTAGGGACTTTGACAAGCTGGCCACGGCCATGGACGAAGCTGCAAACCCTAATGGTGTGGTGGTGTGTGGTAGTCGCGCACACCTTGAGGAAGAGGCTATTGCCAAGCGAAACCCGCTCCGGAACTTATTGATGCATGGCTTCCACTTGATCGTGTCGACGCTGTGCATCAAAAATGTGCGGGACACACAATGTGGGTTCAAACTCTTTGATCGCACAGCGGCACGTGTGCTGTTTGCTCCAATGCATATCGAACGCTGGGCATTTGACGTCGAGCTGCTGTACCTCGCAGCCAGCAGCAAAATGGCAATCAAGGTGCATTTTGCTCAAATACTGACGGATTTAATTTTTTTCTTACTTAGTTTTTATTTTGCAGGAAGTCGCGGTGCAGTGGACAGAGGTGCCTGGTTCCAAGCTTAGTGTCATCTCTGCTACGATCACGATGTTGCGAGAAATTATTCTCATCCGTTTGTGTTACACTGTCGGCATCTGGAAGATCAACGATGGTGGCTTCCGTCTCGCTAAAAGAACGTGATTGCAAAAATCCGCTAGGGTGTTGTGTACTTACTAGGTTTGAGCTACACAGAGTTATCCAGGGCTCACAAGTTAAAAAAATTCATGCCTATATGTGTGCTACAACTTCCGCTGGGGGTGCTCAATGGGGAATCTTTCTGTGGTACCATTGATTTGTCTGCTTTGGGGTCTACATGAAGGAAGATACACATAATAGTTAGCACAACAAGCAATGCGGTGGGCCTAGCTTTTCCAACGTACTCTTGCGCTCACAATGCCCAAAGATTTTCGTTTCTTGCGAAGTTGACCATGTTCCCTTGAAGCAAGATCATCACGATTCGTACTGTGTTTCGCTTCTTTTGGGCGATGATCTGTATCAGCCGATCTGTTGGACAGCAAAAAGCTTAAGTTCTTTCGGTCCATCTTGGGAGAATTTTGCTTGTCAGCACCAAGGTTGAGAGCTCGTTGCTTGGATCGCTGTGGTTTCGTGGGGGTTCCGCTGATGTCCTCTAGTTCGTTTTTCCGCTTGCCACTGCCCAGGGGCTTCAACCACGACTTAAGTGATCCACCTGCTTCGTTTTTCTTGCGATAATTCGTTCGCTGTTCACTCCACACTTTCTTTCCAGGATTATCGCGTAACTCAGCATTCGTTTCCGCCTCAAGCTCCTTTTTCTTCCCATCTAGCGCAATATACTCATCTAAGCCCCAAACCGTGCGCTTCTTCTTCTCAATATCCTTGATCACATCCTTCTCTTCAGCATGATTCACAAACTTCTTCAATTTGAGGCTCGTCTTCTTCTTCACTTGACGTTGCTTCTGCTCTGCACCAAAAAATCTGCTGATCCTCTCTTGGCTTTTCTTGGGTGCTGCGTCTGTCTGGTTTATCTTCTTCGGTGTTGATTCACTTCGTTTCCTCTTGCATGACTCCTGCTTGTCGTACTTAAACTTTCGCTCTGCCGTGTCGTCCTCTGGTCGGTTCTTCCTCGAATATTTTTCATCACTACGGCTCTTCTTGAAGACGCTCTTGTCATGAGGTCGACTACTCGAATAGTGATCCGTATTGTCTCTTGGCGTCAACGGCTTCCTCTTCTTTTTCTTCCGTTCCGGCGTCGTAATCGCATCGATCGAACTGCGTTGGCTACTGGTAGTCTCTCCTTCGTCAGTTGAACTTAACTTCGTAAAGTAATTACTCATAACTTTCTTGCTACCAGCGTTTGCCTTTTCTTCCTTCTCCTTTGCTAGTTGCTTCTTCGTGGCCTTCATTGCATCGGCAAGACCCTGCATAGTAAAAAAAAAAAAAAAAAAAAGTCAGCCATTCAGCTTTATAAAAAATGAAAAGCACCGTCTCACCTTTTTCAGATCAGCATTCAAGCGATCCGCACGCGTCTCGCCTTCTACTTCTCCATCAACCAATCGATACGTCCGCAACTTCCTCCACTTTGCATCTAAAGCACCAATCCACCCCATCTAAGTCCAATACTTTCCTCTCCAAGCTGTAATTACTCAACACATAGCAGTCACGCACCATCTGACGAAATCTCTACATCGTTCCGGTCTCGCTTCCGCTTCAACATGATGGTCAGCGGGAGCCTAATGCAACACGCCACCACATTAGAATAAAAATGCACGAATGTCTCTATTCTGTAACATTTCTTCTCCAAATTTCACGGTCGTACATCTCCTGGGTATCCACGCGTATAGGAAACTCATCTTCTTTGCGGTCTATGCGCAGGACTTTGGATACACGGTGGCCGCGCGGGTCTCCCGCCACGAACGCCTGTAGCATCAGTCCGCCGCGAATTGTGAGACTTTTAGAGAAAATTGGAGCACGAAAATTGGTAGCGAGCTGCGCACCATAGAGAAGTACTCGACCGTATCGCCAGGGAAGAGCGTCTCGGCCTGCAGCTCCGACGCCGAGAGCCCCACCATCGTCGCAAAGGTGCCACCACCGTCTCGCTGAAAAAAAATGACGCGCCAAAAATCAAAATTGACGATTCGCAAAAACTCTCACATAGCATATTTTATCACAAGTTTACGCACCCTTTCATAAAAGATCTTCCAACATTTGACTCATCATGGGAAGAGCGGATGTGCTGGTGCTCTTCGCCTTTGACAACGTCCTAGTAGACGTGGACTCGGACATCCACATCGCCCGAGCACTCGACGCCGATCTGGTTAACACAATCTGGTCCAAAAATGCAGCAGACAAGAAGATCGACCGTGCCAAAACCATGGACGAATTCTTCGTGGAACTCGCTAAACATCACCCCGAAGTGACACACGAGGATATCCGCAACGCAGCGCAACGTCTCCCATTCAGTCAAAGCATACTGGACGCCGTCCGTCTCGTAGTAGACGACTTCGGTGCCACGTGCAAAATCGTGAGCGACTCCACCGTCTTTGGCGTTCGAAGTTTTCTGGAACATCATGGTTTGGCCGATCAAGTGAGTGAGGTGGTAGCCAACTCGACACACTTTGAAGACGGAGGCAAGGTTCTGAGAGTGAGACCTTACCATGGAAACCATTTGGCACCGCATGGCTGTCGGAACTGTCCCAATAACTTGTGCAAAGGTGTTGTACTGGAACGGATCCTGCAGCAACACCGGTACGCAAGAGTGCTGTATGTTGGTGGAGATGTTGGAGACGTTTGTCCATCGACGAAACTGGCAGCGTGAGTGATGATGTTGCCAGAAGATATGCGTTTTATTTACTAACATTTTACTGTGCGTTTTTAGGGACGACGTGGTGTTTGCTCGCTGTAGTGGAGAGAATGAGTTATTAACATTGTTGAACGAGAACCCTGATCAGATTCAGGCACATATTCGTCAGTGGAAGACAGGAGAGGACGTTCTCGCATACTTCCGAAACTTTTTCTATCGACAGTACGCTGAATGTCGTCAAGCGAACGCAAGCGACACGTTGATTTACGCTGAGCAAGACGGGAACTTTTCAGTTCCAACGCCAATGCCTCGAGAAATTGGAGATCTTTTGGTGGTTTTCGACTTTGACGACTCATTAGTGAACGAGGATTCGGATGTTTTTGTGTTCGGGTCGTTCCACCAAGAGCTGTGCCAGACAGCGTATGAACGACACGCTAACAAGCCGATATGGCCCAGTGTGTTCGATGATATGCTCCAGGTTTTGTCCACTGAAAAGCCTCATGTGACGCCTGAGTTGATTCGCGAAACAGTAGCGCAAATTCCAATCCAAGCGCGTATGATTGACGCCATCCGCATGGCAGTGGATCTATTCGGTGCAGAAGTCAAGGTGATCAGTGACGGCAACACATTCTACATCGAGAGTATGCTGCAACACCGAGAGCTGAGTGAACACGTCAAGGAAGTGTTTGCCAACCCTGTCGAGCACGAAACCTTAGATGATGGACGCACCAGACTCCGGATCCGTCCTTACCACGCCGATCATCTGGATCCACATGGATGCACTTGGTGTCCTACAAATATGTGCAAAGGCAGCATCTTGGACTCGATTCGCAACGGAAAAGCCTACTCCCGAGTGATTTACGTTGGTGACGGGACAGGAGATTTCTGCCCAGCATCCCGTCTAACAGAGTGAGTCATTGACATATGCGTTGACCCGCAAACGTATCGCTAACATTTGATATTGTGGATTCAGGAATGACGTCGTGCTTGCGCGCTCTCACCTTGTTAATGGAAATCCGTACGGATTGCAGAGACGAATCAACGAAAACCCTGGCATCGTCCACGCGCCCGTTGTGTCCTGGAGTACAGGATACGACATTTACCGTCGGTTTGCTCAGTTTTGTCCGTCTCCATACGTCAGTCCTCGTACCATTCCTCGAATCTCCGGTAGTGTACTGGTCGTGTTTGACTATGACTGGTCGCTGATCAACGAAAACTCGGACACTTTCATCTTCCAACAATTATACCCCGAACTTCTTGGTACGTTGCGGGAACGGCGTAAGACTCAGCCGTCGTGGACGAAGATCATGGACGATATGCTCGGAGTGTTAGCAGAGGACAAGTCGGACATCACTCCGGACATGATTCGAGACACAGTCGCCCGTGTTCCTATTCAATCGCACATGTTGGATGCTCTTCGTCTCGCTGCGGAAATATACAACGCCGATGTGAAGATCGTTAGTGATGCCAACTCGGTGTATATCGAGAGTATGTTGGAGCTCCGTGGACTGACGCAGGATGTAAACGAGGTCATCACAAACCCCGCTTCATTCGAGACGTTGGAGAATGGTCGCAGTCGACTCCGTGTGCGTCCGTACCATGGAGAAGCGTTTGAAGCTCACGGGTGTGAATGGTGCCCTACGAACATGTGCAAGGGCCGAATTGTCGACATCTTGCGTAAAGCGCATCCATATTCGTCTGTGCTGTACGTTGGCGACGGCTCGGGCGATTTCTGCGCAGCGACGCACCTGACAAAGTACGCTATTTTTTGTGTTTTGAAGAAAATGTAGAGCATGCTAACGTGTTTTCTGGTATATTTTCACAGGAAGGATGTCGTATTTGCACGCGCAGATGAAGCGGATGGGAGATCGTATGGGCTCCAGAATAGAATTGACAGCAACCCGAACCTGGTCGAGGCTTCTGTTGTGCCCTGGAGCACGGGCGATGACATTTATCGCCATTTCTCGCAATTCTTCCATGCGCCACCGCCGTGAAATGGAAGACTTCGAAGTATCAGTTCATTCGACGCGCTTCAACTACATGTATTACACTTTTTTCATTCCGAAGATGCCGAGGTTCTGGATTGATACAAAGCGTTGTTTATTGTCGAAGTTCGTTGTCGACGATGGCGATTTCTATCGCTCGCTCACTTGAGAATGCAAGCTCAATTTCAGGAGGGACGTCGTGCATATAACTCATCTCGATTTGATGCACTCACGTTGAAATGTGAGTCGTCACGTCATCATTGATCACAAAGATTGAAATCTTGCTCTGAGATTCTCAGTCCGAAAGATACCGACAGGCTTCAAAATGGCAAGCATGAAACTAGGAACACATCTCAATGCGGACGTCCTAGTGCTCTTCGCTTTCAACCACACGCTGGTGGATGTCGACTCGAACGTCCACATCGCCCGAGCACTCGACGCCGATCTGGTTAACACAATCTGGTCCAAAAATGCAGCAGACAAGAAGATCGACCGTGCCAAAACCATGGACGAATTCTTCGTGGAACTCGCTAAACATCACCCCGAAGTGACACACGAGGATATCCGCAACGCAGCGCAACGTCTCCCATTCAGTCAAAGCATACTGGACGCCGTCCGTCTCGTAGTAGACGACTTCGGTGCCACGTGCAAAATCGTGAGCGACTCCACCGTCTTTGGCGTTCGAAGTTTTCTGGAACATCATGGTTTGGCCGATCAAGTGAGTGAGGTGGTAGCCAACTCGACACACTTTGAAGACGGAGGCAAGGTTCTGAGAGTGAGACCTTACCATGGAAACCATTTGGCACCGCATGGCTGTCGGAACTGTCCCAATAACTTGTGCAAAGGTGTTGTACTGGAACGGATCCTGCAGCAACATCGGTACGCAAGAGTGCTGTACGTTGGTGGAGGCATTGAAGACTTCTGTCCATCGACGAAGGTGCCAAAGTGAGAAAACATGCCGGTTGATCAATATAAAACGTTGCTGACAATGATTTCTGTTGTGTAGCGACATCACGGTGATTGCTCGCAATGAAGTACTGTCGCTGCCGAACACTTTCCCGGACACCGTTCAAGTCCAGCAATGGAAGGCCGGAGATGACGTGCTTTCCTTACTCCGGAACTTCTTTCACCAGTATCCCAGCAAGCAGGTGGCACAAGCGAGCGTTAAGACGTTCTCACCCATTTCCCAGGTTTTCTCGGGCTCTGGACAAGTGCTGGTGGTCTTCGACTTCGACGAGTCGCTGGTGAACAAAGACTCGGACAGATTCGCTTTTCAGTGCTTCCATCCAGAGCTGATCAAGACACTCGAGGAACGACACGCACTGAATCCAGTGTGGCCAAGCGTATTTGATGAGTTGCACCAAATCTTGGCTAACGAAAAACCGGAGCTAACGCCTGAATTAATCTGTGCGCGAGTGGCACAAATTCCAATCCAAAACCGCATGGTCGATGCTGTTCGCATGGCAGTGGAGCAATTTGGTGCAGAAGTCAAGATCATCAGCGATGGCAACAGCCTCTTCATCGAAAAAGCGCTGAAGTTCCATGGACTGGCGCCATATATCAACGAGGTCTTGACAAACCAAGCCGATCTCGAGACCATGGACAACGGACGCACCAGGATTCGTCTTCGTCCGCATCATGATCAACCGATGAACTGTTCGTGGTGTCCGTCTAACTTGTGCAAAGGCAGCATCTTGGACTCGATTCGCAACAAGAAGCAGTACTCTCACGTTCTTTACGTCGGTGATGGTATTGGCGACTTCTGTCCTGCATCGCGCTTGACAAAGTGAGTTGTTGAAATGAGGTTATCGGAGAGCTCCGTGTACTAATCGATGTTGCGACTTCGATTTCACAGGAACGATGTCGTGTTTGCACGCGCGGATGAAGTTGATGGAAGATCTTATGGGCTGCAAAAGCGAATCGACAGCAATCCAACGCTGATTAAGGCGTCGGTCGTACCGTGGAACACAGGCGACGATATCTATCGTCACTTTGCTCAAGTTCTCCACGCACAGACTTGATCTTGCTGAACAGAGCATTGAACAGAGAGAGCTCTGCATACACGTAACAGCTAAAAACATTTTCATTGTGCTTACACCGCTCAGGTTAAGACGAGCTGGCAATTTTTCCATTTGCATCACGCTCCATTTGCACTGTTTTCACGCAAAGACGTCGCGAACTCCTCGAACCAGGCCAGACTCTCTGGGTTTTGCAAGGCGTTCTTGTTGGTAACCGCATGTCCATCAATAATTTTCTTGACGGTCAACTCCACCTTCTTCCCACTCACAGTATGAGGAATAGCGGGGCATGCAACGACCATCCCTGGCATGTGTCGGGGCGAAGTTTGGTCTCGAATACGCTGACGCACTTTCTTCTGGAAGGCGGGGGTACACTCGTAACCCTCTGTCATCACTACAAACAGCAGAATACGGACGTCTGGAGTACCGTCATTCAGAGTATAACTCTGTCCGACAACCACCGAGTCGGCCACTTCTGCCATTTTCTCCAGCACCTTGTAGATATCCGCAGTTCCGATACGGACACCACCTGTAGAGTCAATTTTCACGTGAAATTAGTCGATAAACACGTAATTGAGCAATACGGGCTATCCCCTACCTGGCTTCAAGGTCGCGTCAGAGCGACCGTAGATGATAACCCCACCACTCTTCGTTACTTCAGCGAAATCACCGTGCTTCCAGATATTTGGGAAGGTATCAAAATCTGCAAAATACTCACGAGTCAGAATTCACATCGATAGAAAAAAAATCTGCAGATTCTTAGACTTACAGGCGCCATGGTACTTGGCTCCGCTCTCATCATTCCAAAAGTATAGCGGCATCGATGGGAACGGTTGCTTGCAGACAAGCTCGCCTTGTTCTAGGACGATTTCCTGGCCGTCGTCGTTGAAAATGCGCACGTCTAGACCCAAACCTCGTGTCTGGAGCTCACTGTCGCACACTATACAATTCGGTATTAGAATATTTACCGATGAAGCACTGTATAAACTTTCCCTACCTGGGAGATTGGTGCAACCCAGAGCAAAACACCCATTCAGATCAGTTCCCCCGCTGATGGAGGCGAACTGGACATTGCTCTTGATCCCCTCGTACACAAACTATAGCGGTGTCAGTTTGTAAAAATCTTGTGATTATTCAAAAAGTGTCATTGAACCTTGAATATGTTGGTGCTTGCCGGCGATCCTGTGGACGTGATCAACTTCAACTTGGACAGATCAAACTTTTTGCCGGGAATGCAGCCCGAGTCCATAACCGCAGCCAGGTATCGGGCACTTGTGCCAAACACAGTCATACCAACGTCCTGTACATCGACGTTAGATTTCAAAGTTTCCAAATAATATCATTGAAGAATGCTGACCTGCGCGTATTTCCACAATGCGTCGGTGGATGGATACAACGGGTTGCCGTCAAAGAGCACAATCGTTGCTCCAACGCCGAGAGTACTCACTAGCCACGTCCACATCATCCATCCCGTTGTCGTGTAGTAGAACACGCGATCTTCCCGTTGTATGTTCAAATGCTACAAATAAACACTGTTAGCTTCACACATTTTCAGCACAATTTCCAGCCAAACTTAAGTATCGTACAATTGAAAGTTCCTTCAGGTGGTTCAGCACCACACCCGGACCCTGAACCAGACACTTCGGTAGTCCAGTAGTTCCACTACTGTACATCACATAGACAGGGTGGTCGAATGGTAGCTGGGCGAAGGGGATCGGGTCCTTCACAAGCTCCACAGCTTCCTCGATAAATCGATCATAGTAGATCGCGTTTCGAATCGTAGACAGATCCAGGTCGTGAGCCTTCGAAACGGTAAAGCGAATAACCACAACTTTTTCCACAGTCGGCAATTCATCGATGATTTTCTTCACCTGGGGAAATGTATCGATGCGATTCCCCTTGTAGAAATAACCATCAGTTGTAAACATCACTTTTGGTGTGATCTAGTGACAGATATTATAACGAAAAAATATGCCATTAACCAGCAGGTGAAGTACAATAACAAGAAACATCGACATACCTGAGCGAAACGATCCAAAACGCCTTGAGCACCAAAATCAGGCGAGCAACTGGACCAAATAGCTCCCAAACTGGTGGTTGCCAGCATGGCAATGATCGCTTCCGGGATGTTCGGAATGAATGCTGCAACCCGATCACCAGCAACAACACCCATCTCTGCCAGCCGAGCAGATAACGCTGCCACACGATCATACAACTCCTTGTACGAAATTACATCCTCTTGGTTGCTGGTCTCCGCCTTGAAAATTATAGCAGGACGATCATCACGGAAGCGGAGCAAGTTCTCCGCGAAATTCAGTCGCGCACCCGGGAAAAACTTGGCACCTTCGTGCACGTGAGTCAGTAAAGTTTAGCAGCAAAACTGAGGCCAGATTCCTCACCTGGCATCTTCTCTTTGTCCTCGATCACGTTCGAGTACGGCTGCGACGCCGCCATCCCCGTAAAGTCCCAACACTACACAACTCCACAGGTTAGTATTGCTTTCACTACCCAACAACCTCTTCAACTATTCATCTCCTACCGCTCCCCAGAAGTCCTCGAGGTTGTCAACTGACCATTCCCAGAGCTCCTGCGGCGTCTTGAGCGACAACCTATTACCAATATCACCATTAAACATCATTCTAAGACTTCAACAGCAATTTCCTTTGCCTACTTGAAGCGTTTGTTCACAAGTTCCGTGAATTTGGTCCAGTTGGAAGAAGCTACGAGATCCGACGGAGGGGTCCAAACTGCGCGACAATGAAAAGAATCAAATGTTAGCATTACACGCTTTTTAAAGGGGATATAATCGACCTACGAGGAGCCTCATCCTTCGCTCTCTTGGCGTCGTGGGCGGGGACTTCGTCCCCCTTGCGCTTGCCCAGCACCGCCATCGCTCTACTCTGCAGATCGCGTTCTGGCGGTAGTTCAACAGCTTGAAGTCGTACTTTAACGGACAATCGAAAAAAAAGTGTTTGATTTACTGTAGCTATTCCGGTGCAGGTTGTTGCAGGAGTGCCTCTGCAATCGATGAGGCAACTTTATAAAAAATTTAAACGAGAGCCACCCCCGCTTCCGAGAGTCGAGGACGTCCTAGGAAGGCGCGGGCGGCGGCGTTGACAGCCATGCTGTTGTTCTGCCGCGCATGCCCCATGGCTGTCATTCGAGCTACGGCCCGGAAGGTCGGCCGTGTTGATGCACGTGGTGCGTTGAAGGACGCATTCGCACTCGTCATGTTATCCCGCACGCGGCCCAGAAGTTGCATGAAACTTGAGTTGAAGCCCAGTTCCGGCGTGAAGTGGAGCAGCTCCAGACGCGAGAGCGTGTAGTGTTTATCCAGCGGGATTTCCATGTCATTAAGCATGACTGGCAAGATCGGCTTCCCCTTGTCTTCCGCGAACGCCAGTTGATCCTTCACCAGCTCACTATTGACGGTCTTCCTCGACAGCACCACTATAAACACCTCGCACTTAAGGATAGCCTCCTTGGCAGCGTGGATACGCTCTGTCATGTCCGTATACGACTGTGTACCGTCCAGCAAACACCGCACCTGGTTGTCTTGTAGTCGGTCATGCAATCGCTTGACGAAGCTGTGATGATGATCTCCATGCGAGACGAAGGCGAACTGGATATTATCCAGAGTGGCTGGGTCCCAATCCGTGATGTTCTCACCGAATCCAGCCACGCTGGTGCCATTGGCCAATCGACGTCTACTGCCGCCGACAATATTTGCCTCGCGATGCTTCTCAATCTCATCGCGTACACCGTCCAATAGCAGACGGAACTGGGCCGCAAACCGCTCCTCGTCGTACTCGTACATCACTTTCCGTTTGTTGGCGTCGTTGATACTCTTGATCGCCGACTCGAACGGTACCATTTGTCGTGTGTAAATGTACACTTGCATCTCATCCGTGACTGGTGCGCCCTCAGGAGACACGGCGATGATCGGTTTTCCCAGTTGCTTAGCCAAAGCGAGCTCCTTGAGACACCATTCCGAGCCTGGGTAGTCCTCAGTGTACAGACAAATGATCACTTCTGCGTTCTTGATGCCACGCGCGATTTCCTCACGCCACACTGAACCACCTCCAATACCTGTGGGGTCCATTAGATCAAGCCAAGACGTGATGTTCGCACGCTCAAGACTGTCGCGGATCTTCAATGCGAATTCACTGTGCGAGTGCGTATAACTGATCATAACGTCGCGGTCTCCAGCAGCCTGCTTGATCTCGAACTGTAACTGCGTCGACGTGGTACAGTCCACTGGGCGGTAACCATCACGATTCGTCTCCATTACATCCGCTCCTGCGTCCAGTAGTGCCAAGGCCGTTCCTTTCTGCTCACATTTCATAGCAATATGCAGCGCTGTATCGCCATTCGAAAGACGATCATCGATATCTGCGCCATGCTCGACGAGACATTCAAACAGGTCGACACTCACGTTCTTGGAGGATGCAGCACACAGCAGAGGAGTGTGATCACGGTAGTCGCGCAAGTTCACATCAGCGCCTTTGCTCAGTAGTAATCGAACCACTTGTGGCTTGTTGACACGTGCAGCCCAGTGCAGTGGCGACCGACCGAAGACATCCTGGAAATCTGGATCGGATCCAGCTTCTAGCAGCATGTTCACTGCTTCGACGGCGCCGGTGATTGCTGCCCAGTGCAACGGTGTACGACGGTGCATACCAGTGTAGCCATACTCGCCCACACAGTTTGGATCCGCGCCAGTCTTAAGTAGCTTCTTGATAGCTGATGTGTTGTTCTTGGCAGCTGCTTCATGCAGAGGTGTAAGCGCCACATCAGCACCCCATTCTTCCAGTTCGTGAGCAACAGGGAAGTTGCCTCGCATGTAGGCCATCTGCAACACTGTCAGGGTGTTCATATGACCAGGATCGGGTACTTCGAGGTGGTTCGCACCCGCCTCAAGCAGTAGAGTTACGATATCCGGGTTATCAGCGACGAAAAGCGGCGGCATCCGGTCGGACCAGTACGAAGCTTTGGACTTGAGATTCACGTTGGCCCCGTGTTCAATAAGCCATTGCACAGCCTGGATCTGCCCTGTACTCACAGCACAATGCAGTGGCGTAACCAGCGTCGTGCGGAAGATTGAGGCCGCCATCTCGTCTTCAGACGTAAAAGGCTTAGTCACAAAAATCTGCGCGAATGTCCAGAACAAATCACCAGTCGTAAAGCGCACACGAGACACCTTATCATAGCTGTCTACACGGAATCCAGCCTCGAAAAGCAGTTGCAGCGCCTGGACGTTTCCAAGATACGCAGCCACATGAATGGGGTTCTTCTTGGAGCGACCGAACAGCTTGAACACCAACCTGGCATCGTTATACATTTCACGGGCGAATTCCGTACCCAGCCGCTCCTTGGCGTACTCCAATAGCGTCTCCATCTTGGCTACATTACCCAACGACGTCTCCTTGTAAAGGTGTTTACGTAAATCATTGACCACCCGTGTGCGCTCCGACTTGTACCTACTGCGTCGACGTTGTAGTCGTGATCGAATGCCACCAGTTTGATCCGTTTCTTTAAAAGCTCCCAGTTGCATACTCAGATGTTCGCGGAAGCGAGCAAAGTATGTGAGTACCACGAAATTCGCGAAAAATGTCACCACTGCGAAGGCCACGTACAAAATTGCTCGTGTCTGACTGCAATGGAAATTATTGCCTTGAAAGATGGCATAAACGAAGTAAAGAATCACCAGGAGACTGAATACCAGCACCACAACACTCAACAACTCGCAGAACTGGAAAAATACCGAGCGTTGGATCTTCTGACGGCCTCCGCCGTCTCGACGGCGTCGAAAAGGCTCAAATATTCGCAGACCTGATGCTGGCAGACCGATGATCACTAGCAGAGGAGCTACGTGATACACCAACATGGCGTACACCACAATAGTGTCACAAGCGCCGCAGTAGTCTGTGCCTGCAATACACGCCGTGGTTTTTGTACGATGGAAGGACAGTGCGTAGCCCACGTCCTGTACGTACACGCCACCATGTCCAATTTCCTTGGACACCCAGAAGGCCACGATACCTGCGATTCCCAGCGCCGCGACCAGTAACGTGCTCATGCGCAGGCGCCACGTGAAGTACGAGTTGCGGCCGTAACCAGGGCCCAGGAAGGCGTTGGGAAGCGGTTTGGGCGTACCACGAGGCACAACGGCCACGGCGTCGTCGTCAATATCGCCCAGTTCCATCATCGCTTCGTCTGTGGAGCCGCTGGGTAGTGGCGTGGCCTTGTCGGTGGAAGCAGCGGGTACAGTCGTGGACGGACCCTGCGAGCTGCGCCGACTCACGCGCTCGGCGCCGTGGCCCGAGAACGAGCCGTGCTCCGGCAGCGCGTGGTAGTCCGCGGCGTCCGTCATCGTGAGTGCGCTGGAAAGTGTGGCGGAGGGATCCCGATGAAGATGTCACGCTTGGCTTGGCGCTGTTCGCGCTGGGCAAAGTTTCGTAATGCAAGGTCTTGGAAACAAAAGTTTGTTCAACGACGCTGGAAGGAAAAAGTGAATTTTACGATTCGACGTAAGTGCTCTGACTTTGTACGTTATACTTTAAATTTGTAAAGAGAGAAGTTTTCTGAAGAGGGTTTTTGACGTTTTCTTGCTTTAATTTTTCGAGAGTTTGGGATAGTCAGCAAAGGAGACCAGCAGGTCAAGAATCTACAGACCCGTACATGATGCAGTGCTCGCTTTGCCGAGGCCAGCGACGATGCAGCGAGGAGCTCTACAGGCTATCAAATTGGCGGGGATCGAGTCTCGAAGGAAACTGCGCCGCTAGGGCATGCATCAATGTTGGCGCCTTGGGCGTTGGGTACACATTCCGCAAGAGGCCACTTTGCCGTGCAACTCCTGATATCACTTCAACTTTACGGAGACCTTGCCGCGTTGGTCAAATGGGCTTCCCAACTTGTGGCCCAAGCCGAGTGATCGTTTTGAATCCTAGTGGTCTCACTTCTTGGCGACAGTGACAAGTTGCGACTGGCAGCAAAATGCCGCGATAAAAAACGATGTAATTGCTGCATGCCACACAAGGATATGTTCTAGAGTACCTAGCATGTCATTGACACTAGCGCTGGCACTCGCCATATGCGCCAACGCCAGCAAAACTCACTGCTCTTCCAACATGCTTCTTGAAGTTGTGGCTTTTTGACAAGCATCGAGGAGATTCTAACGTGTTATTTAGTACGGAGTATCGTATTCGCTCAGTTTTTGTCCGTCTTTTGAGCGGCAGGGGTGTCACAATCAAAAGCGCGCGAGCCTCCAGCCAGCAACGATGACGACCGACGAGCCGCAGAAGCCCGAGACGGAGCTCACCGTGGATGCGCAAGCCGAGACGACCAACCAGGCGCCAGTCTCTGGGTCCTCGGCCGCGTCTACGAGTCTGGGCGGCCGTGTGCGCAAGGCCACACAAACGTTCACCTTCACGCAAGCCAAAAGTGACGAGCCCGAGGAGTTTTCGCCTCCCGTGGGCAAGGGCGTCAAAGTGCGCGATATGGAGTTTGTCAGAAGCAACGTAAGGCAACGGAATTTGCAGTGTTTTTTCAGTCTATTTTACGTGCTTTAACGATATGTTTGGTTGGTTGCGGCAGGTCGAGGCTCTGGGCAAGAAGCAGCACGACATGATCAAGCAGCTCTACAGCATCATGTACGGCCGTCGTTTCCAGCAGAAGAATGTACGTGAAGTGATCTACGAGAAGAGATGGAGGTTGTGTTTGGAATAACGAGGGCTGCGATGGTTAACACAGGTGAAAGTGATTAAGGAGCACATTCTGGACTTCTCGGGCATCACCGAGCAGGACGAGAAGGTTTGCGAGGCTGCTGCAACTGGAATGTTGTTTTAGCAGTGATCTGATTGATGTTCTTGTTGGTTGTTGCTTGTTGCAGTCGCGCGAGCAGCTTGTTGCCAAGATGGGCAAGTGGAAACTCATTTTCGTTCACGAAGTGATGGATCTGCTGGCGGTAAGGACTACGAACTTACAGCTTCTGTCTTTTTGCGATTGTACTAACGTTTATTGCGTTTTGCTTGCAGGTGGATCGGTCCAAGAAGTCTTTTGATGAGGAAGGAAAGCCTCACAACAAGGAAGCGCTGCTTGACCGATTGGTTGATTGGTTGTTTAACCCGCAGGTGACGAAGGTGCGAATGCGAGCATTGTCCGGGTGGGATTTTGGAATTTAGTAATGATTAAGTGTCTGTTGGTTGTTGTAACAGCTTGGTGAAAAGAAGGCTGCGATTGCTTCGAGGAAGGAGAAGCAGAAAGCGAACAAGCGGGCGAAAAAGACCAAGAACGCCAAGAAGAGCGAAAGCGAGCCAGCGAAGAAAAAGCGGAAAACTACCAAGAAGAAGGCGGTTGCAGCTGACGACGAGGAAGAGGAGGAAGACGACCGCGAAGTCACCGAGTCTGAAGGTGACGAATCATCCAGCGACTTTGAAGAAGCGAAGAAGCCCACTAAGAAGAGGAAAGTCACTCGTCGACCGAAGAAGTCGCGCGTCGTAGAAAGTGACAACGAGGACGACGAAGCGGAAAAGGACGAGGCACAGCCTGCTGCCGAGCAGGGGGAGGTCAATGCTGCTGATAAGGAAGAGTCGAAGCCTGAGACGGAGGCCCTGGACGCCGATGTCTGCAGCAAGGTCAGGAACATCATTGCCCACGGCAACGCTGAAGAGCTCACGGTCAAGAAGGTAAGCGCGCTCTTCTGTCCTCATCCATTGAATAAGTTTTGACGGCTGCATATTGTTATATGTTGCAGATTGTACGGCAGCTGAGTGCGGACTTGGGTCGAGACATGTCCTCGCAGAAGAAGGCTATCAAGGAGTTCATCACGAACGACCAGGCGGAGATCTAGTTGCTCTGCCAACCTTTGCACATGTCAACAAGTTGCGGTCTTTTGTTGTCTTTTTTGCTTTTGTTTTGTACTTTATCACGTCTGTTTTCCTACATTTTCATTTGTCACAAGTCAAAGAACAATTTTTGCCTGCCTCCATCCATTTCGTGACAGGCAAAAGCCATGGGCAAGAAGAGCAAGAGCAGGAGCGCGCCGCCGGCCGCCTCGGAGCCAAAGCAGCCCGCATTGGAGCCCGAGGTGGTGGAGGCTGTACAGGATCAGGTGAAGAACCAGGACAAGTCCGCGCTGTTCGACGGCTTCGCTCAGAGCGCTGCATTCTTCGGCAAGAAGGCGTCATACGCTTCAGCAGTGGTGGAAACGACCAAGCAGGAGACGGAAGCACCTAAGACTGTGAGCGAAAAAAGCAAAAAGAAGAAGAAGGCTAAGAAGAACAAGAAGAAACAGGATGAGGAAGAAAACGAAAACGAGGACGAGATTGAAGAGACGACGAATGACGAGGCTGAAGACGCGAAAGCTGAGACCAACGACGGCGAGAAGCAGAAGAAAAAGAAGAAAAAGAGCAAGAAGAAAACAACGGATGGCGATGAGGGTGAAGAAGAGAAAGAACTCACACCCGACGACCTTAAAGCGCGTCGTACAGTTTTTGTGGGCAACGTATCGCTGGATGCCTCGCAGAAGGACATCAAGAACCACTTTTCGGTGTGCGGTAAAGTCGAGAGTGTACGTCTCCGACATCTGCCCATTGCTGGCTGCGCAGTGGGCCAGGCTGGCAACCAGAAGCTCATGATGAAGGTCTGCGCCAACAAGAAGATCCTGACCACAGCCAAAGACAACTGCAACGCCTACGTGACATTTGTGGAGGAGAGCAGCGTCGAGGCCGCTCTCAAGCTCAACGGAACGGTACGTCTTGATAGCTCCTGAAATGTACAGCAGAGTGTATGTACTAAACTGTCATTGATACAGACTCTTGTCCAGAAGAAAATCCGCGTGGATCGCTCCGAGCCTGTGATTGACGCGCGTCGCAGTGTCTTCATTGGAAACGTGCCCTTCAAGTGCACCGACGAGCAGATGCTGCAGTTCTTCTCCAAGCGCCTCCGATCTGATGAGGAACCTGAGCCAGTTGAGAACGTGCGTCTGATCCGCGACCGCGAGTCCGGTCTTGGGAAGGGCTTTGGCTATATATTGCTGAAGACTCCTGCTCTCGTGGCCAAGACGCTTACGCTGCGCAACCTCAAGATGGAGACTCGCGAACTGCGTGTGCAGGTGTGTGGCAAGCGCTTCAAGAACTTGCGTGGCGAGGAGACTGAAAAGGAGAAGTTTGAGGGTCTCCGTGCGTCTGCTGGTGCACGAGCGCGTATCCAGTTGAAGCGCAAGGCTGGCGCAGACAATCTGGACCACGGCTTTGCTACGAAGAAGATGAAGCGCGCGGCCGCCGCTGCTGGACTGGGGAAGAAGCTCAAGCCCAAGCATGCTGCGCGTAAGGCAGCGAAGGCCGCGGCCGAGGCTGCCGCTGCTCAGGGAAAAGGATCAAAGAAGCGTGTGCGTGATCACAGTGCGAGCAAGAAGGTAGAGAAAAGCAAGGCTAAAAAGCCGAAGCACAAGGCCAAATAAGTCCATGAAAAACATGCATTCTGTGAATCCATCAGTGAAGAGTGTTGGTCGGTTAGTTACCTCGTGGCTGGAGCGGAGTGTAGCCCGATCGCTGTTTCCAACGCGTTAGAACAGCCATCACCAGCGCACAAGCAGCAGCTCCCGCTACGACGCCCAGAAAGAGCAACTCCCAACTTCCGGGCGATGACTCGGCAGTAGCTGCTGCAGCTGTGCTCCTTGTTTTAACAGCAGGAGTATCTTCGAGAGGGAAGTCGCTCAGTGCCATGTACATGAGACTCATGACTCCAGTGTGAGGCACTGTGTTGTTATACAGAGCCACGATCCGAACGATGTCCGTTGTGCGCATGCGTCGAGGCGGATCGAAAGTGCACGTGCTCATGGAGATAACGTATCCGTCTTCATTGCCAGCCTCCATTCCTGAGCCGTATTCCGGTACAGAAGCACACAATAAATCTCCCGTGGCGTCGTCGTATAGCTGAATGCCCAGACCACCGCGATGCTGGTGGCCGACAGCATACACCAGCTCCACTTCGCGCTCTGGTTCTGGCGGATGTTGGCGATACGCGAACAACGGGATGCTGCCATTATCCAGTCGCTGGCGTGTCGACAGGGTGTGGACACAGCCAGGATGCGTGTCTGGGTCGCACACAGGCACGTCGTACTCGATGTTCCCCATGCGTTCCAGATCCCCCGATGCGTCACAGCACGCCGCAAGATACAGCGGACGGTTCTCCGGTACGATTTCAGCGTAATCCAGCGAGTAGCGCAAGTGGTAAGTGGCCTCACTCGCGTCATAAACCTCCAGTTCATTGTGCTCGAGGCAAAACTCGGCGTCTTCGCAGCAACGCAGTCCTCCATGGTACGTTTCTGCGGAGCAGACAGTGTTCTCTTCAAACTGCAGCTGGGCATTGCAGCTGCCGTTGCGGAAGTGAATGCCATTCACCGCATTATCCGTAAACACATCTTCGGCCGTGCAGGGACACTCTAAACAGCGATGTGCGCGGTCGGGAGCCATTTTACGCGTGTTGATAATGTGCACATTGGCCACCCATTCGTCTTCCCCCTCGACAGTCATAAACGCGTAAGGGAAGTAGAACTCCTGCGGCGTGCCGCGACACTCGGTGCCGGCACCGAAAGCTACACTACGACTGAAGTTCTTGGGCTTCATGGGGGCCCAGCGGCTTTTCATGGCGTCGTATTGCTTGTGGGTACTGCCGAATACGTGGTGATGGAGATATGCGTCGTATGTGGGCACAGGCACGACGTTACCACTGGCATCTTTCTCCACGACGTCGGCTTCGAAGCGATACACGGCGATGGGGCCCTTAGGGATCGCGAGGCGGTGGAACGTGTTAGTCACTTCCCCCTGGAGAAGCGACAGAGGGGGCGTTAGCGCCGTGTAGCGCTTGGTCTCGGGCTTCTCGGCCGCTATAAGCGAGCAGACAAGCAGCACGACTGCGAGTAACTGCAGCATCTTTCACCGGGCTCGAGTCTTGCGTCCAGGTCCGCAGATTGATGAATGAGTGAGCCCCTTCAATCCGGATGAAGGGTGAGGAATGATGGTCATTGGGATAATAGTAGAGTCATGTTGAAGTTGATTAAAACAGTAAACGTAAAGTGTACCATTTAGCAACAGGAAGTCGAGATCAAGTCGAAGACACGAGAAGCGTCTTCTAAGCTGCCAAGTAGATGGAGGAGTGGGGTCAACATGTCAGACTCACTCTGTATGCTAACTACTCGACCGTACACGTTATCCCACTGGAAGCGCACGGAGCCGCACATGACGATGCGTCGGTTGAGAAGTTTGGCTGCTAACTCTGAATCATCCTTCTTGTTGGTATTGCGGGTGAACAGTTGTCGTAGCGCCTTGTCTGGAATGGCAAAGCTGGTTGTGGTAGTGGCCAGGAGCAAGTCATCACCAATTTTGTCTAGACGCTGGAGCCGGACGTCGAAGCAGTCGAAGTAGATGGAAAAACGCTCCCATGTCTTCCGTAAGGATTCGTGATCACAAATTGACTGTTGCAAGAATCGCTCTGTGTAACTGCGTAGCGATTCGGGGACGGTGCCGTGCCGGAAGAGATGAAAGTACTCGGTGGCAACGTCCCAGACTGTCCGGGTGAACGAGTAATTGTGACGTCGCTCCTCAAGGTCCTGGATTTCGTCACGAAGCCTTGGAATTTCCACCTCGTACTCCAACAAAAGCCTGCGCTTTTTTGTTCTATAGCGGATTTGCTTCAAACGGCGGCGCTCTCGAACAGACATTGTGCGCTGATGATCAGGAATTACGCGAGGCACAGGTTCTTGTGTAGCGACGATGTCGTCGGTATCTTGGAGGGACCGCGAGTGCTTGCGGGTAGTACTCGGGTTTAGCCAATCTGTTGTCGTTGGACTGATATCACCTTGGGTATGCGAACTGATGGGTGGACACTCTTTAAACGGAAGAAGTCGAGCGCCTCGAAGATCAAGATGTCTAGAAGCAGCACGCTCCTCCTGTTTAGTATTAAAAAACCCTCCCTCTCTGGACGACCGGGCACGCTGTGTCACGTTGCCAATCACATTGGCGCTGAGTGACTGGTAATTGGGCGGATGAAAAGTCCAAATATGCATCGTATTGAGTATGCAACGTTAACGAATTGTGACTGAATTCAGAGTGGGAGTAATGATACTCTGTAGCAGTCAGAAACACGAACCTTGGATGTTTGCGAACGACATGTTGATGACCATCCGTATGATCACTTCGTTCGCAAACACCCCGTGGAATTGCGCTTCTCACGTGATGATTATCTTGAGGTACAAAAAAAAAAATCATTGACTTCACATGTCAATTACACATAAATATGACTGCTAGACATTGTGGGCCCAGGGTCAGACTAACGAGAGCGGAATCGATGCTATAATACGCTTAGGCTTAAACTTGCAACGCGTTAAAGTTTCGATTGTATTTGTGATAAATCTGAAATATGGCTTAGTGAGGGCTGTGTCCAACACATGAGCAACATCCTCTACAGAACCTAGCAATCGATGCAGCAGTGTTAGCAACGCTGCTCGTCGTGAAAGCCATCACTGAGTCTGAAGAACATTTGTGTAGATATTCTAGCTGAAGATCGATCGCGTCGAAGCGAAGTAAGCATGAACCCCAGTTCGTTATCAACGCCTTCGCCCAGCGCATTAAGCCGTCGGTGACGTCTGGCACCACTAATTCGTTCAGTAAATTAGCCCGTGAGGTAGCGCCGAGTTTCAGAAGTCGACTTAACAATGTACATGAAGACGCGAAAATACTCGATCGCCACAGTCCAAAGCATTTGCTTCACACCCCGATAATCGGAAGAAATCAAACCGGGTCACCGATGGGTCTGGTCTTTTTCGGGTCTGCCACCAAAAAATGAGACCGTTAGGACTAGTACCCAAAATAAAACCAAGAGAGTGTTTAATAAGTTCGAATTAATAACCTACCGGTATTTGAATCGAATAGCCTATAGTATCGAGATAGAGAGATATCACTTTAGAGATTGATATTAAATAATATAGGGGCTCTCTCAACCAACTGTTTGGTTGAGGGCAGTTGGTCTGGGAGACCAGCACACTTTTGCTTTCTCCCCGTCATCTCCAAGACTCTCTTCCTCCTCCTCTTCCTCTTCCTCCGACAAGGGGCCAGTCTGATACACTAGTAGCACTTGTTGGTCTAGACTCGACGGCCTTGGCCTCCGCTACGCGCGAGAACGATCAAGACGTCCCGCCGGGAGGAGAGAGACAAGCCGAGCTGGAAGCGCAGCTCACACAGCTACGTGCCGAGATTACAGCCCTCCAAGCCAACAATCAAGCGCAGCGTTAACCGCGGATAGAGTCCAAGGCTCGCGTTCCGAGCAGCCTGCCGAAGTTCAAGGGGAAGCGCGACGACGATGTGCGCCAGTGGCTCTTCCAAGTGGAGGCCCTGTGCCGAATCAACGGTCACGACGCGACGGACGACAACTACATGCTGCCTTCGATCTCTGGGACGGCGATGGAGGAATCTGCGTCAGGATGGTTCCTGTTCTGGGCCTCAAGAACACCTGCGGATATGCAGACGTGGCGTCGGTTCACGGATGATGCCCTCGCTCACTTTGTAGCCTCCAACTATCAAGCGGTGCTACGACAGAAGCTACGTGAACTCCGTTAGGTCAATGACATCGAAGAGTACAATGGGAGGTACTCGTCGTTGATCTTCCGAGTTGAGGACATGAGCGAGGTCGACCAAGGCAGTTACTATTGTGACGGTCTCAAGCGTGCGACTCAAGCCTATGTTAAGCTTCAATACGCGACGACGCTGAGCGAGGAGATGAACCATGCTGCCAAGTATGAGATGTCTCATCTTGGTGGCGAGCGCAAACCGACCCGCGAGAAGCCGGAGCGTGAGCAACAGTCCCGCGGACGAGCAAGCTATAACCCGTCCAACAACAAGAAGCCGTTCAGCAAGAAGTCCTTCAAGCCAGGTCACTACGCTCCCGCGGAACAAGCCAAGGAAGGACCCGTGTGCTACTATTGCATGAAGCCAGGGCACTTCAAGCGTGATTGCAAGAAGCTGAAGAGTGACGAGGGAAACGATCAGCCACGCCAGTAGAAGAGGGACCTGACGTGGCGTAGGCTAGCTAAGAAGATTTAACCGTAAACGAGGATACGTTGAATCTGCTTTGCGAAGACCCTCTCGTCTACACTCGTGCACCATTGTTTTCGATTGAAGGATCAATTGTACAGGGTGTAAACAATTTCGGTGCCAAGATCCTGTTGGACTGTGGTGCCACAACCGTATACATGTCTCGTGGATTCGTCAAGTAGCATGAGCTGAAGACACACGCTTACACCGACCGGACTATCAAGGTGAAGCTCGGCGACAACAAGATTGGCGAGTCTATCCTGGAGTTGGTGAAGATCGAGATTATACTCCAAGGTGTCCCAAATTACCAGTGTGTAGCAGTTGTCTTCGACATTCCTGAGGAGTTTGACGGTGTTCTCGGGATGCCATTCTTTGTGGATATACATCCGGATATCGACTGGAAGAATCGATGCATCAAGGTATGCGTCTCAGATGGAGCCTCAACGGCGGACATTTCGACTCCCTGTGGGAAGTGCAGTCCGGGTAATGGCTCAGGGCCTTACGATGCTGTGAATTGCGAACGCACTTCCGCGATAAGCCGTGATTCCTGTCGAGCCGCCGTGCCAGAAACACGCTTGGAGGGCGAAGTTGAAAGCGTTGAAAGACCAGCTGAGGACGTGGAGAAGCTCGTGAAGCGTGAAAAGAAGTAACGCTAGAGCTGAAGCAATGTTTACTCTCGGAGTGGTTCGGAAGGAGTTGAGACCAAGTACATCACTTGGAAGAAGCTACGGAAGTTCCTACGGTTACCTGCGAAGGACCAACCGGAACACGACTTCATGATTGTGCTAACGAACGATACGATCAAGGAGATCGAACGAGATCTTAACAGGAGCGATGAACCGGACAACGTTGGATCCGAGAAGGTCAGGCGATTCCTAAACACGGACTGGGAGCCGTTCAACGATAACCCAGCCTACCCTGTTCTCGTCTACAAGGATAATGTGTTCAAGCCAGAGTTGCCCGATGGACTACCAATGGAGTGCGACATTGAGCACCGTATCGACGTGAAGGACCCAAACACGGCAATGTATCGGCAGCAGTGGCGTCTCTCGCCAGAGCAGAAGACGGAAATCGACAAGTGAGTACGCAAGATGATCGAGAAGGGACTGATTCGACCAAGCACCAGCCCTCACGCTGCACCGACATTCTGCGTACGCAAACCCGTGGGATGGCGTATCGTTCACGACTACCGATACCTTAACAGCAACACGATCAGACAGAGCGTGCCGATGACGCACAAGGAAGACGTTTCCGACAGTATGGCTGGCGCCTACTATTTTTCGTGTATGGATTTAATGTCAGCGTACTACCAAGTTCGAATGAAGATGGATCATGTGAAGTACACCGCGTTCCAAGCTCCAAACGGTCTCTACGAATACCTGGTGCTACCTATGGGAGTCAGCAATGCTCCTGCAACTATGCATAGGTTGACGTCGTCGTTGTTCAAGGGGTTGTCGCGCACCAGATCATTCTACGATGATATCTACGCGTTCACGAAGTCGAAGGACATCAACGAGCACTTGCGAGCCCTACGCAACGTGCTGGAGATACTCAAGGAGAACAAGCAGTACGTGAAATTGTGTTCTGCACTGAAGAGATCCCGTGTCTTGGTGATTTTATCGTCCGAAACGGAGTTCGTATCGACCCAGACAAAGTACAGACAAATCGCGATTGGCCACTCAAGAACAACTCCACAGCTTTCGCGGTTTAACTGGATACGTGCAGCGATTCTGTGAGCAGTATGCTGAGCTGACGGCACCACTGTTTACTCTGTTGAAGAAGAAAACCCAGCGGAACTCGAAGATTACACTGAATGCAGTGCAGCTGAAGAGCTTCAAGGATCTGAAACGACGACTATCCGATACATTTACCCGACTTCACGAAGCAGATGCACTTGCGAACGGACGCAAGTCTGTTCGCTGTGGGTGGTGTTCTCTTTCAAGTTGTCGATGGGATCCAGCGGCCAATCGCTTGTACCAGCCGGAAGATGAAATCAGCAGAGCTGAAGTACCCAACTCAGCAGCAGGAGCTACTTACGATTGTTAACGCATTGGCGGCGTTTCGGATTTACTGTTTGTACCGACCGGTGATGATCGAGACGGACCACAAATCACTCGAGGGAATTTTCCAGCAGAAAATGGCGAATCGACGGTTAGCCCGGTGGTACGACATCCTCGCAGAGTACCAGCCGGTCTTGGCGTATTTACTGGAGCGAAAAACGGTATCGCGGACGCACTGAGCCGAAGACCAGATCTTAAGCCTGAGACGAAGGTGTTTCACGATTTACTCGTCCCAAGCTTCAACGAGACCAGTTTCCAACTTCGTGTTGCCGAGATTCGCCCAACAAATGAACTGATCAAGTTGATTATCAACAGGTACGATAATGACAAAATCATTCGAGAAATTCGACGCGCAATCAAGAGGCGTGGTACGACAGCGAACTCTCGTGGTATGTCTGAGAAGCAATACAAGACGTTCTTTGAGGAAAAAAACCTGATCTGGTACCAAGGAACAACGGAATAGAATCCACGGATTGTCGTTCCAAACGTGGTGGCGCTAAAGCATCGCGTCATCTCCGAAGTACACGATTGTAACTAAGGTGGCCATTCCGGCGCCGATCGAACATATCTGAAGCTATGTGCTGACTGGTATTGGTCGTGAATGGTTCGTACGATCAAGAAGTACATCGCGGATTGTGAAGATTGCAGACGGAACAAACCTCGATTGACGAAGACCCCTGGGCGATTGAAGTCTCTACAGAATCCAGAAGAACGATGGCGTTCGATTTCGATGGATTTCATCACGGACTTACCGGATACAAAACCCGGGAAGAACTCGATTTGGGTTGTCGTGGATCGACTAATTAAGCGTTCACATTTCATCGCAGCGACGAAGACAGTTTCTGCTCAAGAGGTCGCGACGTTTTTCATCGACAACATCTGGAGGCTTCACGGTATGCCACAGGATATCGTGTCAGATCGAGATACCAAGTTTGTCTGGATTCTGAGTGCAAGTCTTCGACAATGTGGGAATCAAGCTCAAGATGATGGTAGCGTACCGGGCTCAAGGTGATGGTCAAACGGAGAGGACAAACCGAACTCTTGAAGAGTATCTCCGCTGCTTTGTATCTCCATGACAAGATGACTGGAACGTACATCTTGCGAACGCAGAGTTTGCCATCAACTCAGCGGTCAACTCAAGCACCAAGATGTCACCATTCGAGGCCGACATTGGATACGTCCCGCACAACCCACTATCTGCTGTTGATGAGTCAAGTCGGCGAGGATTGCGCGGGGGACGTCGCCAAGGCGTTCAGTTTACGAAACATCAAGCCGCCGTACTTCGCCAGTGTCAGGATGCCCTCGAGGACGCGCAAGCCCGTATGGCCAACGTGTACGACCGCTGACGCAAAGAACAAGACTTCAACGTTGGTGACCAAGTGTACCTAAACACGAAGAACCTGGACACGGCGCACACGGGGTTTTCCAACTCACGCAAGCTTGGACCCAAGTAGATTGGACCGTATTCCGTCGTGCGCAAGGTACATCGACACGCGTACGAGATCAACTTGCCGCCCGGACTCAAGCTACATCCGGCCTTCAACACCGGCTCACTCAAGCCGTACGAGTCTCCGACGCGTCTTTCGCGACCTCCCGAGGTAATATTGCACGATGGCCAGGTGGGACAGATCGTCGAAGCAGTTATCAACAAGACAAGGGGAATGTACAGTAACTTATTCAGTGGGTGGGTGAGAGGAAGACGTGGGAACCACGCGAGAACTTACACCAAGTGACCGGGTTGATTCAAGCGTACGAAGCCAAGTCGCCTAAAAGATCAAGAAAAAGACGACGTCATATTTCCGAGGACGAAATAGTATGTCGACGGACACGACAGCAACTCAAGATTCAAGAGTAGCGATTTCATTTCGAGATTATGTTCAAGATCCAGTTGAACGTTCAAGGTATACAAACTTCAAGATTATCTTCAAATTCCAGGCGCAAGTTCAAGTATACAAACGTCAAGCCGAAAAGGAGCCGTGCTATTATCAAGTTATCCTACTTTTCCCTGGACCGGTATTTCAGAGAATCAGGACGCGTCGGACGAACCGCACTTTTGCCAGCCACGAAAAGGCGCATTCTAACAGCGGCATCTGAACGAGGCTTTCGTCGGAAACGAAGCGACCGTGCTTCGTCACCTGCAGCACAAACGCGTGCGACTTACGCTGAGGATCTGGAAGGCACCTGCGCACAGATACACGTCAGGCGCCAGCAGCAGGAAATCCAGACCGACGCAAGCTTGAACGTCTTTGAGACGAAACTGGACCTGATTCACACCAATCGTATCCTCACAGATCTCGGCTCGACCAGCAGCACGAGCGGCGCGGTTGGAAGTCCGACTGAAGGTCCACAGTGTGGACCACACAACACCAGCAGATGTGATTGGCTTGTCAGTCGCAGCACGCATACAGTACAACGCATCGACAGCAGCTTCCGAGTACCAGTCGGAGACCCCAAGTGCGTCGACAGCGAGATCCAGAGAGCGGAAGGCGCAACGGCCATCGCGGGAGGCGCCCATGGCCTGTGAGAAGCCATCCGGCCGCGAGAGAGCGAACTCAGCGAAGGTCATGGGACCACCGGTGGCTTTGTACTGATCAACGAGCTCAAGATACGCAGTGAAGCCATCTTCTTCAAGGAGCAAACGGGGCTCCCAAGAACCCTCGGTTTTCCCTGCAGAAATGATGTACTCAACATAATAGCGAAAGTCTCGGCTTATCTGCGCGCCAAGACGGTCAGAAATGGTCCAGACGTGCCAGCGGGGCGATGTCGCGGTACTTCGAGCTGAAGACGTCTTCCGTCGAGCTTGGCGGCTGAGGGACGCGCGCGGTTTTCGCCCACCAGTTGACCGAGACGCATTTTGTTTGGTTCGCGCCATGGCAGGCTCTCGTGGGAGCGAGTAGTTGCGCAGCCAAGGACACAAACACAACAGGGCAGCGGGCACAGCGGCAGTGGCGAGCGTCGACCGAGGTAAGTTGCTAACTGGAGAGAGTCTAAGGCAGGTGAGAAGCTGCGATAGTGGAGACGAAGGCGTAGAGCAAAATGGCAAGAAGCGAGGACGAGCAACGGACACGTCAAGACCGGCAACGGACTCAACCGCACTTGAAGAAACAAATATGAAGAGCATTTCAAAAGCTGGAGGGGTGAGTGTATCGAATAGCCTATAGTATCGAGATAGAGAGATATCACTTTAGATATTGATATTAAATAGTATAGGGGCTCTCTCAACCAACTGTTTGGTTGAGGGCAGTTGGTCGGGGAGACCAGCACACTTTTGCTTTCTCCCCGCCAGCCCCAAGACGCTCTTCCTCCTTCTCTTCCTCCGACAAGGGGTCAGTCTGATACAGTATTGCACCGCTCAGCTGTATTGGCCGCCCAGATACGCTGCCCATATCTTGCGGTGTTTGAAGCGATTGCAACTTATCTAGTTGCTCTAAGACCACATGGTATAGATCTAGTGTCGTTGTATTATTGACTCTGTGTGGTCTCTTGTGCTGTTAAATGCAAAAGCGATAGTGTATTTGAAGTTGCTCTCTTACTCAGAGTCCTAGATCTCTTGTGCAGTCGTTTCAACGTCGAACCTTTCAGCATGGCGACCCTTACCAGTGGGCACCATGCTCTCATGATCCAACTTCTTATAGTTCAAGTCTGAAACTACCTACACTCTGAGTTGCACAGCGCGTTTGACATCTTCTTCGATAATATTGACCCTGTTTAAGATGCTGTGCTCAACTTAGTTGTCATTGTGCTGTATGTTACTCGGCTGGTATTAATAAGTAGAACCGGCGTAGAGCGAACTATGACACCCTGTTAGGTTGGCATGATGCCGCACATAATTTTTAATACTAATAAAAGCTATTGTTTTTAGGCACCTTGCCCAAAAACAGTTTACCAAAAAAAAGTAGTTCCCCTTTCAAAATAGCATCAAAATTCAACAGGACCCAAGGTGGGTCAGACCCACCGGTGACCAGGAAAAAAACTCTACCCGATAATTAACTGCTGGAATCTCACCTAATTCGCTCTTCGTCTTGCTCAGTCATCTTCAAGGTCTCATATATACTTACTGCTTCTTCCTGTTAATATCTGGTTAAGGCGATCTCTTACCATCTGAGAATCGGTCAAGGAAGAAAGCTTGACCACATAGATCTCCTGAGAATTCTGTATTTCACGGCCGTGGATTTGATTCTACGCTGGAGCCAACATCTGACATGATCGAACGTGGGCTTATGTATTATATGTAGCCCTGATGCAAGTGCGGTAACGAATGTGATCAAACGGTGAATCTGTGTGGAATCGCGTCCATTGTCGCATTTCGTTCTACGAGCGAGAGGTGACCATTCATGTTGTGTTACTCTACTAATTACGGCACCACTCAGGGCCAGCGTAGGCAGCTACCTTTCAATGGAGTGTGGACTTGCAAGGTGAGGAATGTTCGATAACGGTACTGGTTATAATATTCTGTGATTGCGAACAAACTTGGTTTGTAATCGTATCTGTAAGCAGGTTTGAGAAGCATTAGAAATATCACTCATATCATTGATAAAAATAAACTGCTTCAATTTCCGTTACTATTTTTTATTAGATCTGATACAGAGCCTCAGCATTTAATGCTGAGGATAATTTTATCATAGCGATATATCGATGATATTTTCAAGGATAAGAAACTATGTAGTGGATAGCTTACGTTACCTCATTAAGTCATTGATGCGCTTGAGCTCGGCCGCGTTGTGTTTCAATATAACCTTCTTCTCGATTCACTCTGAATCTGCCCGTGTTCTGGCTGAAACCATAACTACAGCACCTGACGAGCATACACGTCTTGAAAAACAGTGGGGATTGCACGACCCAGTCATTTTCACACAAGTAAAGCTATCAACCGAAACTCCTGCAGTCCAATGTCATTAAATTAGCGCCGCCTCTTTCATCTTATAGGTAGTAACAAAGTGTATCAGCAAGGCGAGCTCAAGAAAAGTAATTGTATTATTCACATTGTGGAATAAAAGATAAGGAATTTTTTAGATGTTTAGATTATGCATGTCAAGTGCGTCGACCTGTATTTTGCAACGGATCAAACCTTGGTGAGGCCGCGCTGAAAGGAACACAAGGATGGGTGATGGCTTGCTATTGTCACGCGAAGGCGACCGGGAGGAAAAAAACTCCTAGCGACGAAGCGATCCTGACTCAAGATTTCCGACTCTTCACTTTATTATCGTTTTATCGATATTTTGTTGATATCGACGAAGTCAAATATCACTACATAGATAAATCAAAGTTAATATAGACTTTTCTTTGTATCAGCGCATTAACATTGATATATCAGAATGATTTTATCAATCTTGTTTCACAGCGTCAACTCTGCTACTGTAAGACTTCCAGACAAAACCGCAACAATTTAGTATACCTCACCACTTCGGTGGCGATACGGCGTGCGAAGAGGGTTTAAATACATACAAGTATACCTCAAGCTTACAGCGCTGTTTATGTTTGTCAGCGAACAAGTCTGGAGTTCGTTGTTTCATATGAAGCACCAGCATTTGATGGTACCGCACCTCATTCAACACAAACCATTCCTTATGAAATTCGCAGCCCTGACCAAGGCCAGCAAGAAAGTTCTCGAGCCATCCAAGTCTGATGGCCAAAAGGAAACGAAATCATTCAATGGGACGCAGATATCATCGGAACTCCGACAAACGTCTCATACACACACCTAGATAATCGTATGGTAAATCCCCCACACACAAGTAAGTCGTTGCTGGAATCGCTCAAACAAAAGGCCAATTATGAAAACAATTTGGAGTTACTATTACTATGGGCAGCGTCTGCAGAGGATGGAAAATAAAATAGGTTATTATATTTTCGTTTTCATGATCCGTAATATGCATTGCAATACAGGGTTAATCAATAATACGGTATTTTGACCAACCATTGCAATAAATATATTAGCCCGACCGTGGTTTATACTTGTATAAACCAAGGTAAAAAGTATTGCGAAAGTATTTTACATGTTTTCAAATGTTACAGAAGAAGCTTTTATCTCTGAAGCAAATTGAAAAGTGAATTATTGTTGTTACTACTTCTTCTAGCTGCTCTACGAACCAGTCCTTCTTGGTAATCTCTGAGCACCTCGTTTGGTAGATAAACAATAGATGTAAACAATGGATCCTCGAAATGGTCGTCATCGAGTATTTGGTATACAAGATACGTATACCATATACATGTATAACGGAGTTGTAACTTAGTTACATCAAAGGGTTGGAGGGAAGATGAAGCAATAATAAGCTATTCCAAACAGAAATACAATAGTTATTGTATTTTTTTTTCAACCTCTGGTGTCCGGCAGACTGAAACCTCATTGCGATCATCTCTTGAAACATATATTGGTACCGAGAATGCCCTACTGCCCAAATACTAAAATCTCGCTTTCATAGATATTCTAAACTCCGATGTGACCAGAGCTCCGTCAAGTACGCGTGCGACGCCGTCCAAGTCTCCCAAAAGACTAAGCAATGGTGTCAGCAAATCCGATTGACTGTAGATACCGATCACGCGCTCGCATTTGTTGTCCCAGTCAAAGCGCACTGAACCGTGTAAGGTGATTGCCCGGCTCCGCAGTTTCACGCTCAGAGGAGACCACCTGACCACATCAGCTCCGCCTGTTCCGTCACTGTCTAAGTGAGGAAATACCCGTAGCACCGTGTTCTTCGAAATTGTGATGCTGGTTGTTGTGGTGGCGACCACCGATTTTTTACCAACTTCGACCAGCTGGTGAAGTCGCACATCAATGCCGTCGAAAAGCAATGATATCAACCTCCAGTTTTCCAGCAACGACTCTGGTCCGTACTCGAGTCCGTCTGTCACGTCCGGTGACATTGTTTTCTGCAAGAAGCTCAACGCGTATCCATGCAGCGCTCCTGCTGACAAGCCGTATTGAAAAAGACGGAAATATTCGGTCGCAACATTCCATACAGTCTGCTTAGATGTTACACCAATGGGAACGCCGTGAAGCTCGAATTTGAGGTTTTCAATCTCGTTCGCTAGCCTTCGCACATCGTCCTCAAGGTCCGTTATGCGTTTCTTCTGCCTCGCCCTGTAGCGCTCTTGGTTTAGGCGGTGGCGTTCTCGTTCTCGCTCCCTAGTCGCGAACGGTGACTCAGTATTGGTCGAGGTGATGTTCTCCCTTTGGGTATCTCGTGTGGCACAACATGGGTATATCGTCGAGTGAGACCTCCATCGAGGTGGTTTTGCCAGCATCGCAGTCCTCGTTTGCGTGGCATGGTCCCTCGTCATCTCAGGCGTAACTGTGTCGGTCGGAGATAGCGAATGTTCATATGTCTGCCGTTGATTCGAAGGTTGATTGTACTGCAAACACACTTCACCTCTAGACAGAGGAGTACTCCGTTGCACCACAGTTCGGATCACAGTATCGTTCACGCACTGGCTGTTGGGCGGTTGTAGATAGCTACTGTGCATTGCAGGAAGTTCGGTTACAACAATGAGCAGTGAGTGGCAAAGTGGCGACGTTTGTTTGTGGTGTACATGTACAGCTTAACGTTAGCTGTTCGATCATATGATCGACTGATTACGCAGGAAATAGATCCCATTCATGGCGACCACGAGGACGCAATACTTCGAAGTACAATACATTACTTGAAACCACGACGTGAAAAGTTACTAATTAACTAAAGCATGAATCAGGATTTAAGCACGACGCGTCTTGCGCGTATTTAAAGACCTTACTTGCTCTAAAATATCCTGGTTACCGTTGCCAAAATTCTCATGGAAATAGCTCATGCAAAGTGCAATCTAGTACTGATACCAGTGTTTTCTTAATTAACCCTTTAATCCTCGTGTGTAAGATGAAACTAAACATGATGGTGTATGCACTGCAGCCTACAAATTATTTAGCACCTACAGTCTGTAGGTGTTAAATAATTTGTCCGCTTCAGACGAATTTTGCTTTAAAATGTAAAGTAAAACAATTTTTCTTTTTTTTTTCCTTGGAGCCTTCTAGAAACTCTTAAGAAGGCACTTCTACACCTTGTAAGAAACTGGATACGTCGGCAGCAGATAGGTGGGTGAACATGCGCAGATGATGCCTGGAAAGGCGTACTTGCACTCTGATTTCGCAGCCCCACTTCGAGATGTGCGACGTACAGTTGAAACTCCCAGAGATGATTATCACGGGAGACGCAGGCGGAACAATTGTTTATCAACAGTGGGAAAATATCATTTCATAGAATAATATGTGGACCACATACTAGGTACTTTGAGAGGAAATGTATGTGGACCACAATAGGTGATTCGCAAATCGGAACGTATATCCACGATCGAAATTTTTTTTTTTTGCAGACCTAGTGAATTGATGCCGTACCAAGATTGAGCTAGCGACATCTTCTTGAAGAATTAAGACCATTATCACCGATGAGGTCTCATATGTGCCAACTGATTAAACCCGCTGACAGAAAAGTGCATCATACAGTGCGCGCGGAAATGATAGGCGACAAATTGGTTTTTCAAATAATTTCTTCCAACCATTAACTATAGAGACCTGATTTTCTACCAATACGCAGCACACTATTGCGATCATTTTGAGGGGTCATTCGTCTTCAACCGACGTTTGAGTGCCGAGTTATAGTCAAGAACCTGCATTTTTTTTGGACTGTACCAAGCGCGAACACGATAGACGAACTGCGTACAACCGTCTTCAAGAGTTCGCTGTGTCTTAGGTAAGCTATATAGTGGATAGATATCAACACTTTAGTACTTCGCCTTGATTTTTGTAAGTCGGTAGAACTCGATGCAGCGTTTTTTCATCGATCCTACAAGATTTTCCAGTGTAGAGGTGGGAATGTTGTCCCACGCCTTCTTAATCGACTTCACGAGCTCCGCCTTGGTTTCATACTGTTTGCCGTCCAAGTACACGGCTCGCGCTAGGATTCCCCACAGGTTTTCGATCGGATTCAAGTCCGGAGACTTGGCTGGCCACCACATAACGCACACATTTTGCTCCTCCAAATACCACTTCGCAGCCCTGGCAGTGTGAATGGAGGCATTATCATGCTGAAATTGGAAGTTGAGGCCGTGATGCAGGTGCGCAAACGGGAACAGATAGGCACCCAACGTGTCGATGTACTTCTCCGCGTTCTGCTTGCCCTCCAGAAACGCCAGCTACGACTTGCCCTTCACGCCCCACACGAACACTTTTCTGCCATCAGACTGCCGGTTGGAGTAAATCTGTTTCTCCTTCCTAAGATCTCTCCAATAGTACTGACAGCCATCAGGTACAACCATTTTCAACTTTTTCTCATCAACGAATACTACAGAGTTCCATTTGTGACCGTGTTCGACAAACCCATTGGTCCACTTCAACCTGGCCGCGATGTGCTCCGGCTTGAGCACTGGGCACGCTAAGCGCTTCTCGTGCACAATGTTTTCTGAGTCGTGCAGCACCTTCGAACAGATATCTGTAGCTGCAACGAATCTTTGAGCGTTCTAGCGCTCTTTCCAGTCTTCGATTCCTCGTGCTAAAGCCGGCACTCGGCCACTACTCCTAGCATTTTGGGCCTTCCCGTGCTCTTTTTCGAGCCGTACGCCGCGGGATTGGGCAGAAAGTTGTTCACGACATTCCACGAGCGACCCATACGCTTAGCAATAGCGTTAGCAGACGGATTGTTCTCCGAATAGTCTAAAATCGGATCCTTCTCGATGTACGTCAGGGGCTTGCCCCTTCCCATCTATAAACAACAAAATACTATACACCATTAACATCAGAGTGCTCGTTAGACCCTCCTGTAGCTATACAAAATAAGTGCGACACGTTAAACAACAGTAGAACGATGAAATCGATGGCAATACTTATTTCACCTATCTTTGTCGCGCCTTGTGTGACCTGGTCTGAGCAGATTTTGAAGTGTTGCTCGGCGCCAAAGTGTCGGATTTGAGCAAGTGAGGCCGCAAACCAACCGCAATATTGTCAATTCCGCCCAAATTTGCCGAAGCGGGGCAATTCGGAGAAAGGCGCGAAGCGAACGGCGTTGTTAGAGGCCAAAATTAAGAAAGATATTTTTATTATCCAATGAGATGCTAGATACACGTTGAAGTTGAAATGACAGTGCGCAGTGCGCAAAAGATCATGAAGGAGGTTGCTACGCGGCAGCATGCTCACGCCAACACGGTGTACCATTGCTTGTACGCGTACTACAAGTTTGGCTACTCGAATAAACACCGTGCGCGTATCTTCAACAAGTCGGAACGGGCCATTCGCAACTGGGTGAATGTCTATCAGAATACAGAAACCTTCCAGCGCGTCAATCCCGCCTCCAAAAGGCAATTCACGGATGCTCAGCGACGCTGGCTGTTCGATTACTATCATGAACACCCTCTCACGTACCTGCGTGAAGCCAAGACGACAATCCGTCAACATCTCAAAGACTTCTGTCTGGAGAATAATTCACGAGTTTGGGCTCACATGGAAAATTTTAGAGCGCCGCGCAATGCATATTAAGGAGTGAGATCCTTTTCGCTTTGTGGAGGAGTTAAGCCACATTGATTGATGCCACTAGAACTTGGTATTCCTGGATGAGGTTAGCTTTGACAACCGAGGAATGATCCGCAAGCGCGGGTATTCTCTTCGTGGGAAGAAGGTTGCTATTCGAGGTGATTTTGAGCGAAAACCTCGAATGTTCATCTTGGCATTTATTTGGCGTGAATGGAATTCTAGACTACTTCAGCACGGAAGGCACCTGTGATCGCTTGGAGTTCACGAAATGCTGTCAAGACTTTGTTCACTGTCCTGGTGGACCAGTACGCCAATATCCTGTTCGTAAAATTCTTTTTGGATTTTGGATGGTGCTACAATCCACAGGCACCCCGAGATCATCTACTACCTTCGAAGCGTGGGCATCGTAGCAATTTTCTTACCCGCATATTGCCCCTTTTTTTCAATCCAATTGAATTCCTGTTCGGCTACGTGAAGAGGTTATTCAACGTCACTACCTCGAGACAAGTGAGCGAGATTTGATGCTCTTTGTTGTCTATACATTCCGCCAATACCAACGGTTAAATATGAGTAAGGTTTTTGAGCACTACGACTGGAAGATCCTAAGATACTTTGATCCTGTCGGGCCGCTTTGAATTGAGCGATCAAAGCAACCAGAAGTGAATGCAGAAGGCCCCAATGGAGATCGATTAGGATTTACCGAGATTGAAGAGGCGTAACGAAGCTTCCCAAACAACCGTAGCGTAAAATTCTTCTAGCATAAACGTAAACCTCAAGAATTGCAAATAAAACAATATCGCGTTTCACTCGGCATGTTCTGTGTCTTCAACGTTCTCGATTCGTGGCAGCGGGTCGATTATTTGGCTTGGTGACGGAGGCACCATGTCGCGGAGGACCTCTTCAATGACGGCCTCACGCGCCGTCAAGCGCTGCTCTTGTTCGTCGACAAAGCGTACAGCAGAAACCAGGAGGAAACGCAGTTGCTGGCAGTCAGCAATAGAAGCTCTCACACAATCTAATGCCAAGTTTGTCGATTGAGCCACACCTGATAGGTGCTCCTCTAAACGCGATTCAGCTAGCGATAGTAGGCAATGTAGCGGGGTGGCGGGTTTGCTACGACGGTACTCCATGTAGAGCGGTCACCATTCCGAATAATGTCGTTCACCCACATGCTCCAGACAACGGATGCCGCCATAAACGTAGTCCCCCATTTCTGTCTGAGAGCCACCAGCACATCTCGCACTGAAGACTCTGCTGCAGCGCCAGCACGGTCCGTCTTCTCGGGCAAAATACATGCCTTCATGAACTCGTCCCGATCTTTTTCCGACGCAATGGCCATGCCATACTCATAAATCATGAGCGCCACCGTTGTTCCTCGCGTTGCCACAAGCCACTGGTTCCATGCCTGGCGAAACTTGGTGGAGTCTACTACACGTTTCTTCACCTTGAACTGCACAATTTTAGCCCACTCTGCGAACTGAAGAGTCACCACACTCCATACTACGTCAGTCTTGACTGCATGTTTCTCCACTCGACCAGAAAACATTTCCCAAACAGACTCCATAATAGCGTTGAATGACCGTCCATTAAAACAGCATCACGCAGTGTTTCAGCTGACAAATCACGCTGATTAATGGACGTCTTCACAATGGGCCGCACGAGTAGTTGATAACGATTGTCAGGGGGTGTTGCAGCTGCTGGCGCTGCCGGTGCAGCATCTTCTGTCACCCCTGTGGCTACATGGTTCACCGAAACAGAATTTGGTGCTGTTGCATCAACAGAATCATCCACAAGCCCCGAAGTTTCCCGTGCCCCTGGAGCCTCTGTACCTGGTACTGGTGCAGCAACTTGATCCAAAACATTCACTAACGCCGTTGACGCCTCTGAAGCAGCGGCTTCAGTCATCAGCTTGACCCGCCGGGGCGGCTTGAGCAGGTACTGTAGCAGGTTCAGTTCCCGAGATACTTGGTTACCTTGGCACTAGAGTGGCCACTTCCTCACGCGTTCGCGGGTGGTCAGAGAGGAAAAGAGGGTCCTCTTGGAGTGGATCGAATGATGCTCGATTTGGCGGACGATATGGAGATGCACGTGGTGCGTGGCCACGCCAGAGCGGTGAGCGTAGCGTCGTCCCTGGGGTGCCGTCAGGGCGCGCACTTGTCATGATTGAAGATGGCGAGTCAAAGGTTTATTCTGTATTAGCGTCAAAATGCATTCTGTATGATAGGCTGCATGATTGGGTGCGCTATTGGGCTGATCGTGTCTCTCAGACGCCCGCGGAAATTGCGAATAGAACGCACAATAATTTAGTTTTGATTGGATGAAACGCTTAGGTTGAATGCGCTTGATTTGTTAAAATTATCCAAAACATTACTTTTTCGCCTATCATTTCCGCGCGCACTGTACCTAAGTATACCGACGACGATGCCGTGGAAAGTGCATCCGCTAGTATCATTACAGAATCACATAAGATTAAATACGACGAAGAAGAACTCACACTCTAATATCACGTTGAGGGTATCAAAAGTAAACATTTAAAAAAAAAGTACCTGGACATGTAATAATGACGTCGTATTTTAAACTCTTTCGTTAATTCAACATAATAAACGATGTCTGAAAAATGGCGTCGTATTACGCAAGTTGACGACCAATCGTGATGATTCAAGCGCTCAAGGCACCGCTACAGCCTTGTTAAGATAGCACGTATTCGAACACCACAAGATAAATCTAGTGTTAAAGAGCAGGAGCTAATTATATCGCACTTCAAACCCGTAATATGCATGATAAAGAAACATCAGAAATATTATAGGACTTATTATTTATGACAGAGCATTGAGAACAGAACAATGTATTCGAAGCAACATTTGCACACACTAACGCTGTTACATGAAATACATCAACGCTATTTCCAGTTCTCCCAGCCTAAAGCAAAGCACCCTAGTTTCCTTTTCCTAAGGCTGGAAAGAATTGTCATTATTTCATTAGAAAAGCTATTAATACTAGGAAAACCTTTAGGGATGGACAGCCCTCAACGGCTTAATTCCAGGGTACTGCGTAACTCGCTCGATGTTATCTCACTCAACATTTAGCCGACCTCAAAATGTAAGCTGAACGTCGAGAAAAAGTAGCATGTTTAACATATTTTGGCGTCAGGTTGTCCATATCTGATAGTTAAGGGCTATCGGCA